CAGGGGTCCGCCGCTATATATTACTAAAGTAGCTATTAAGCGAGGCTTAGTGGCGGCTTGGCATCTACCCCGCTACTCTGCACTTTTCCGTATGTGGAAATGGATCAATAATGAAGACCCCAGGCGGCTACGAAAGTAAACAACGATAATATCCGACCTTTCGTCCTTATTAATCCCTTTGTCCCTTCTTACTGTGGATTGTCGTCATGTCAGCAACGTTGAGCACGAACGTCGTCAGTACCAGGTCTGCATCATTGCCACTCCGTCCTTACCGCCAGGGCAGAAGGAAGATGACCCGAAGCTGCGTCATGCTCGACGGGATATACACACGTCATTGAGACTCACTCAGTACATGAAATTGATTTAAACGCCATTTTTAAAATCTTCTTTTATGATAGAAACGACCTGAGTGTACCCTGTCTGGTTCAAGTGTTGGCTCAAACGAAGACAAGTCGTGTGTCTCGCAGCATATGGTATTGAAGGGGCATAGATTACGCTTATAGCGCGGCTACGACTATTAAGCACAAGATAGTCGTAATAATGGCAAAACATAGGCTGCCAATCAAATACCCCACGCTTTCACCCTGGACGGAGTGAATCCAGTTTGCAACGTCTCCGGCGCTCGACACAAACTTCCGGACAACTATGACAGGAATTGCGTAAAGAACACATGAAGCCAACCCCAGTACGATGGGTATGGTGAATCTTAACCAGATGGAATCCATGAACAGATCTCCAAGAGCTGTGATAATCGCAAGCCCTGTTAGGCATGTGAGGAGAAGACTGCCCACAATCCACGGGTCGCGGATGGGGTCAGCCTTGAACCCTCTAAGGGTTTTCTTCAACGCATTAAGCTGGCTGATATCAATACCCAGGTTGTTCTGAACACACTCTTGCCAAAAACAACTATTTTTCTTGGCGCCCCGCTGTTAGGGCGCAACCTTGATATTTGCACTAAAGCAGGCACTTCTCTCAGTAATTGACTATCTCTGCCAAGGCATAAGAGAATTTTTCTCACAAGCCGGATGGCACCCTTCCACGACGGGCCCCCAAACACGCCCGTGGCCGTCCCAAAGGCGACCACCGGCGGCGTGCTCAAATCCCCGGCCCCTAGAAAGACATACAGCCCGGCAACTCCGAGCAGGCTCCGCCAGGCACTGCTTGACGACATCAGCAGCAGCCCGTCACAGGTCTCTGAGGCTGACTTCACCGTTATTTCCCCTCTAAAAGGAAAATCCCGAAATATCAATGACAGCAGCACCACTGGAATGAAACAACCTCAATTGAACGAAATCTCGACAGACCAAGTCATTATATGCGATATAGGGAATAAAACCTCCTCCTCAGAGTGCCAGGACCAAGTTGCCAGAATACTGGCTAAAGACAAGCACCTTTATGAAGCCAGAATAACAATATTTTAAGAGTGTGCTACAGCGGTTGATAAGACACTTGAGAAAGCTGGAACCGAACTATACTCTTATGTCAAGGAGTTCAGCGCTTTCTTCTCTAAATGTCTGAGCGAGTGGCTAGAAACCCGAGATCTGCCCAAAAGGAAGACCATCCCTGGGGGGATAGGGATGGTAAAGCCCACCATGACCTTTGCCCAAGCTGTCTCCTCTAGCCAACGACAGCATCCACGGACAGTCAACACTATTATAAAGAAAACACAGCCTGGCGCCTGTATCACTGCCAACCAACTGAAGAAGAAGCAGGATGATCTCCGGGTCTTTATCTGCATGGATAATAGCCACTTAAAGCCTTACGGAATAAAGTCTGCACTGAACAAAAGACTTAAGCTCCACCATTAAGAGCTTAGAGAAGTGACCCGGTGCCCCTCCGGATTTACCTTATACCCAAGGGACAAGCCAATTCAGGCTAAGCTCCTGGCCTTCCAAGAAGAAATCACCGATATTCTCAAGGCAGAAAAGATCGAGACCCACACAGTCTGGTATCACTATAAGGTCGATGGATGCCCAAGAAAGGTCATCAGTGCGGAAGGATTGACAATCGATATTACCGACATTGCTGTTGCTGATGAAGTTGAAGCCCAAACAGGTGACAGACCTTTAAGGTGCATACTCTCAAGGAACACAGTTGATTCTGATCTGGAGACCACATGGGTGATCTCTCTGTCCCGTGCAGCAAAGAAACCATTCACGCTTTTTGCTCACTTAATGACCTCAAGGCATATTCAATTACTTCCCCAAGGTTCACTAATGTGCGAGCTGCTTCAGATACCATGGTAGGAACTACTGATGTGAAAAGCAAGTATGTGCACGTTGCGCCAGTACAGTACACCAGGGGGAGTGCAAAAAACCAATCCCAAAGTGTGTCAACTGCAAATGACCTGCACGCCCCAAGGTTGTGAAAGGCATCATCTATAAGCACACATGGGAGCAAATCCAAGAAATAAGGCTGGCTGGAGAAAGAGCCAGATCCAAGGCCTTCAATGAAGCAGGCAGAAACCAAGCTATGTCAACACCCAGCAATAATAGCGAAGACATCACAATACAAATCGACACAACAGATACAACTCATCCCAGAGATGCCGATACCATTGTTGTCAATCAATGTTAGGTATATCAAACGAAACACATCGACACAGGCATCTAGTCATCCATTCTGTGAATATAGCAGGGGGACAAAAGAGTGCAGGCCCTATAGAGTTAGCTATTAACCTGGCTGATTATAAAGGAGAACAAGTAGACATCATTCTGATGCAAGAGCCCTGGATTGGCATACCACCAGACAGGAGAATGGGAGTAAAGACACACCCCAATTACGACATATACTCCCCAGTGGATTCCTGGGACAGCGACAGTATACGGCCCAGATCTCTCATCTATGTGAGAAAATACCTTCAAGCGGATCAACTTCGGCCCTATGCTACACGAGACATCACCTGGGTCAAGGTACAAGGCATTACATTTGCCAGTGTCTATCGGCCATGTGACAACCCACTGGAAGTGGATGACATTCTGGAAGTATGGACTCCACTTTTTGGCTGCGTTATAGCTGGAGATTTCAATGCTGGCGACACATCCTGGGACTCAAGCAATCCAGGATATCATGGTGGTGCTATACTTGCACAGACTATGGCAGACCATGGACTGGATCTGAACCTACATGCAGGACAGGGTGCCAGCTATGACGAAAATGAGATGAACCCAGTGAGGTCCATGTAGCGGATGAGCGATATGTACATAGTTTGACTTACTCACAATATACCATGGCCCACCCACAACTCGGCTGTTGGCACCATACAGTGGGGTGACAAAAATACCGAACACCCCACCCGCCCGATATATAGGTCCCGATTGACCACCCTACTTCCAGAGGTCACAACTTTCTCAATTATGCGTCACATCCTTAGCAAATTGGTATGTAGGTACATAAACATATAGTTTATTTTTTAAGATCCTTTAATATTTCGTATACCATCCCTTCGCTTCGATAATGGCCGCGATCCGGTCTGGCATCGAATCTATCAGCCTATTAATCATATCAACTTCAACCGCCTCCCAACACCTCTCCGCGGCATCTATCAGCTGATCCATGACGTCCTCGTTAGCCGGCAGGTCTGCAAGGTCGGGATAGTCTCTGCAGATTCTCTGTTTAAGCCATGACCAGAGATTCTCCATGGGGTTGAGGTCGGGGGAGTAAGGAGGCCACCCCAGAACCGGGAACCCGAAGTTTGCTAGCCACTCCTTCATCAACTTTGAGGTGTGAATAGGAGCATTATCTTGCATGAAGATGTTCCCTGGCTCTATCACCTTAGGGAGCTCTTCCTCGAGGATTTCCTTGTGAATCCGAGCCGTTATACCCCCCCTCTTGGCCTCGGGGTCCCCGTTGCAGATGGCCAACTCGCTCTTTGTGCCGTAGCGAATACCACCCCAAAACATCTTGGAATGACGCGATCTCTTGTGACGTGCTTGAACGTATATCCTTGCTATCGCAGATGAGCCTGGTTCGAAGAGATTTGGTTAGATATTGCTCTGTTAATCGCGTGGTGAAGTAAATGGGTCCAAAATGGGCCCTAGAAGATCTCCGAAACACCCACCCCTTCCTCTGACCTTGACCACGCTCTACTATCGACTCGTCTGTGAATAAAACACGTCGCTAAAACGAAAGCGGCTTATCCTAATGCTCCTTAGCCCATTTTAGTCGCTTGTCTGCGTGTTCCTGGGTCAAATACGGGCGTGTTGCGGCTTCGTGATGCCCGATGCCCTCCCGGAGCAGATGGCGACCGATAGTACGCGTTGACTGTTAACTACCCTTAGTATGGCCCTCTTTTCGATTCTAGTTAGGGATTGTGGTCGACCACGGCCTTTGGGAGAGACGCCCCAGTCCTGAGAGGTGAAGCGCTTTTTGATCCCGCGACAGGTGCTTGCTGACACTCCCTCAGCAAGCTCCACCTTCCTGCTCGATTCGCCTGCGGATAGCCTTCCCCAAATGCGATTGCGCTGACGAGGTGTTGTATGAATTCCTGTTTTTTTCCGAGTTTTTTTGTGTACACGAGGCATCGTGGAAGTTGTGGTGTTAGTCATGGCAGAAAAGAGGAAACGCGAAAAATCGCGGGGTTGGGGCGGGGTGTTTGGTTTTTTTGTCACCCCACTGTACCTCGAATCCCGACCCACCCCCGGTACCACGAGTCGCCTTGCCCCGCGCCAACCAAGGCTAACCTAATCATCAACACCCGCGGCCATCAGCCACACATCAGTCGCGCATCAGCCGCGCATCAGCCATCCGTGCTTGTGTGCTTGCCTCTCCAGATTGAAATAAAAGCCTTCCATACTCGTGAACGGCTGCACTACACCATCGACAAGCACAGTTCTGCTGCAACGACCATAGCACCACCACCACCACCACCATTGCTGACAGCCAGACGTGAGTTACCCGTGTTCATACAAGTCGCAAGCGGCACGTAGTCACGGCCAGTGCATCGCCACCACTACTACCGGGACACGAGCAACGCTATATCCACGAGCAGGAAAGCCATCATGGGAGACCTACCACCAGAGCAGCCCCAGCTGCCCAACCGAGTCCGAAAGCCGCGCCAGTCGCCCAACCGAGCCAGAAAGCAGCGCCAGCAGGCAGGTACGAACAAGAGGTATTGCGAGTACTGCGAGGAGGACATAACCGAGTACAGCTGGCTCAGGCACACATAACGAAACAGGCACATAAACAACAAGGAGCGAAAGGAACAAAAGGAACAAGAAGCGAAACCACTAGACAAGGAGGAGATACTGCGTGAGTTCCTCGCTATCTCAGACCAGGGACTGTCGCCGCTGTCGCCGCTGTCTTCGGCTTTCCGTGTGGAGATCGCGCGCGCAGGTGGCACAGCCAACATGAGCAAGCCTAGGGAGTCGGATGACATGGGCCTAAACGCCCCATTTTTCGTGTCTTCGGGACAGTGCTGGGAGAGGAAGCCGCCGTTGACAGATGAGTTCCTGGATGACCTTTTGGATGGTTTCAGCAAACAGAAGACCCAAATCTATAAGCGCGGAACTGGCCACTTCCCATGCGACAGCACGCCCATTACCCAAGTGGTGAAGCAACTTTGGTTCCCCGACCCGGAAAGCACGTTTTACGCAGTAAACATGGAAGCGAAGTCGGCAGTGATGCGCATTCCTGAGTGCTTATATGGAATATACAACCTGGACCCTGAAGACATAAAGACCACCACGAACATCACCCCATAATTCTCCTTTGTGGACATACACGTCGGTAAGTGGACAGGTGGCGAACTATGCACAGGATGAGAGCTGACAACACCGCACAGACCACGGGAGACACGGGCTGACAGCGCTTTCTGAAGACTGCGTCAAGCTATGGGCGCTATATCCCTTATCAGACCACAACAAGGCCGAACTGTCCGAGGTATATGACAAGAACTCCTTATTTATTGCGCTGCAGGGACGGCTAGAAAAAGGAGAGTTCTGTATCCAGACGGCGGCGGAAGCACTCTACCTCCCACCCGGGTACATCCACGCAACCGTAACGCTGAGAGGCGGGCTCACCCCCGGGATACAATTCACAACACCCCACTGCATCACGCTGTCAGAAAAGATGTTGATCCTTGATAACGAGAAAAGAGAGATAACAAATGAGCATTGCATGCCGCTACTGGAGAGCATCCTCCTCGGCCTACGTTCCCACGAGGGAAAGCATGTGAAGGAGGCCAAAGCGGCGCTCTGCCGGTGCTACATGATATGTGCAAGGTGGAAAACAAAGGTACTAGGAGAGGTCACAAAACAGGCTGGGAAGCTGTGCCCGAAATGCAACAGGTCGTGGAAAAGCCACGGCTAGATGTCTCAAAAAGGTCATAGCACTGAAGCGTATTGCTGTCCCCTTATTGCTTCGTAGAGCAGTGATCTTTCACCTTGCCTTTGCCCTGACAGTAATCCAAGCTCAGGTAGTTGCCCCGGGGGCCTGCGGCTGACCCGCTCCTTTTTGTATATTTTGTATCGCTTTCTCTGATGTTGAGGTGGTGTTCGCGTAGCTGTGTCCTCGAGCTTCCCGGCCATGTCGGGCACTTCTCGGGATGAACTCGGCCCACAGTCAACCGTAAAATCTAAGACATGCGGCTGTGCTAATATATCGCTACAGTTTGACATCTTTGGGTATGTTGCTGCGCCTGGCGAACTTTCTGTAGCTGCCGTATTGGCCTTACTCCTTTGTCTCATGCCTGGTTTACGTCGTTTTGCAGGACGCAATAGGTGCTGGCCGACTTGATCTGCGTTGAACAACTGACTATTCCTGGTACATACGTAATCGGTACATATATGTTGAGTGGCCATCGGAGAGGCCACTTGCATGGCGGACGATACAGGCCTGATTGGGTCCAATACATTCAAAGTTGGCCTGCACTTATGATATTATAAAACCTATAATGATGTATATTGACGCGTCCAGCCGGGCTTGTCCTCCCGAATAGCGGGAATGACTTTCTTCTACTTGTGACCACCTTCGCCACAGAGCCCGTCAAGCTTAATCCGGTACGGCTTGTTCGACATGCAGCGCCCAGGCTGCGCTCACTGATAGTTTTCTTTTCACCCAGGACCATATCCTCGCCTTGAGGCATGCGAAGCTCGACCCCCGGCCCGAGCTATACTTTGAGTACGTCCCGGGGGGCACTCTCAAAGACATTTTGTCTACGACGCGCTTCCAGAAGAAACAGGTCACTATCCAGCTGCTTGACGGCCTCAAGTACCTCCACGGACAGGCGACGCCAATCGTCCATCGCGACGTCAAGCCGGAGAACGTGCTGGTCCAGCGCTGGGGCCCCGACGAATTCCACGTCAAGCTCGCCGACTTTGGTTTGTCAAAGCAGTCGGATGCCCTGAAAACCTTCTGTGGTACCGCACTCTACATCGCTCCAGAGGTTCTCTGCACGCAGACGCCCCTGAGCAAGAACTACACGAAGTACGATTCCATGGTCGACGTCTGGTCTCTCGGCTTGCTACTCGTCAAGCTGGTGTGCGGTCAGCTGCCCAGGTTCCTCCAGGCCTATGTGACGGCTGGGATGACCTGGGCAGCAGCAGTTCGTGTCAAGGTACCTGCTGCACACCGAGGACAAGGACTCGCTGATTTATTTCGTCAACGAATATATGCTGGTGATTGACCCGAAGAAGCGGCTGTCAGCGGAGACGTGCCACGATAAGGCACTGCAGCTGTTTAGCCCAAGCTCCTGAGCCTTTGTCCCCCATCGCAGAGTAGAATCATTCCCAGAGCTCTTCAGGCAACGTCAAGGATAGCGACAAAAACAGCTATAAAGATAGCGACAAGGAGAGCGATAAAGACAGTGATAAGAAGAGCAATCCAGCTACACCCAAAGCTTGGCCGGCGAGTTTCACTACTGCTTCCGAAGACTCTCGGGCTAGCGAGGCGTCCACCATCCGTCTGAGCCCCGGGAACAGCGAAGAGGGCAGCCAGAACTGGGAGTTATCGGACTCGGGATTCTCAGTGTCGGGAAGCGTGAGCCTTATTCGTGACTTAGGCGAGAATGGCTCGGCTTTTATTGACACCTTGCTTGGCATCGAACCGCTGGACATGGCATCGTCTGAGTGCTCGGACGCTCCAACTCCAGATACCCTCCCACATATGACTCTGGTCGACGGCGAGCTATGGGCCACAGGAGCATCCACTGGAACCCATGATTCGGTTGCAGCCTCGGAGCAGAGCAGGCAAGAGCAGTTGGTGCCTGGCCCAGTCTCTATTGGCTCGGAACTTGGCCGGGCTACCGAGACCCGCGTCGCGGCGGCGGCGAGAGGAGAGGATGATTCGGCTGCCACATCTGCATTGTCGCCATCCCGGCGCAAGAGGTCCTGGCCACGACGGACACAGCATATATCCAAAAAGAGCTATGCATCGACCTTTGGAACGGTCCCCCTGACAACGAATACCGCAGGAGAGCGGAAGGCAGCCCTGTACGTGCCATAGTGAAAGAGTTCATCTCGAGCGATCCAGGCATCGACTCGCGAGCCTTAGAGAAGATGTTCAAAGGTCTTAACTGGATAAACAAGCACGGCGTCCTCGTGTGGGACGTACATGCCCGCAACTACCGGGGCGGGATCCTGGTCGACTTCAGGAAACGTAAGATTTCCTAGTTATAAAAACCATCAAGTCATCCCCCTCGACTTGTATTACTGCTTAGGATGTTTGTTGGAACAGGCTTGAACGATCAATCATAATACTCGAGTATGGGGTCAAGGTCATGATGTTGCTGATGGTTGGATTGGGAGGTCTAGCTAGACCTGAAGGTCTGGCTAAGTGACCTCGCAATCTGGTATCTAATCACTTATCTAATCATACATGTGGGTCTTGGTATAGATGGTTTGCAGGCTGGAATCGCATGGATCCAACAGGGATGGTATTTAAACGCGATATTCGAGATCCAGGTATGGACGCGGCCAGTTCAACCGTCTGTAGACATAGGGGTACGAGACAGCAATATCCGAAGTTTCCTGAAACTGAATCTCAAGCATGGCCAAAATCAGCCCTCAGACGTCATAGACGTCGCTGAATGCTAGCCTGGCGAGAGCATTCGCGGGCGTAATGGTGACAAAGGCGTGGTCCGACATTTGACACCGGGAATAAATCTAACTCCTCCAGAAACCTATCCTTATAAATACGGTGCTGACCGCAGACTTTGATGATAGAAGCCAGCGACGATGTTTGGGAGTACCAACAGTTTGGCTGATGCGCGGCTGATGCATGGCTGATGCATGGCTGATGTAGCATACTGATATCTTTGGCATGCAGGTGGCTATCTCAGGGGCTAATATACAAGCCTTACTGTACGGGAAGCAGGGCATGACTCCCTATTTCCCACGATAACCTGCAAATCAAACCTCGAGGGCACACATGTTATTCTGTCAGTTTCCGTTGGCCCCGCCATTTGGGCTCGTGCTCTGTGATATCTTGATTCCGGGGCTCCGTAGAGCTGACACGAAGCTTCCAACCTCCCATCCGCCAATAGGTCACCGTCTAGCCGACCGTATCACGAGCTCCTCCCACCGTAGCGGTTCACCGGCGATTTGAACGGTCGCGTTTGTCAGCCCCTTGTATCGACGTATGTTCGGCATCGGAACTCTCTCGTATCGTGGTTCGGGGCCGTCGACATCGGGTCGTTGCTAAAGAGCGACGCGCGTCGTGATCCTCGTCGTCAGGTCCTGCGGCGACGAGCGGCACGTCTCCTTTCCCTAAGGTCTGGAGCCGTCGCGACGGCGACGACGACTTCGAGGTCGTCGTCGTCGTCACTGAGCTGTTGTCGACTGTCTCTAAGCCGGATCTCCCGTATTCTCCTTCTACAGCCAAAAACAGCTGCTGTTAGTGCACGAAAATTTTTCACACACAAATTGTATGCGTCATTTTCTGAAACACTAACAGTAGGTGCCAAGACTTGTAGTTATAGGAGGGAAGATGGCGCTGCCATAAGGTCGATAGTGTTGCCACGACTTCCAGTAAAGTGAAGCCATCATGACTATATACAGCTCCATATCATGAGCAGAAACTGAACCATGGGCAGGACCGTGGGCAGGAACTGTATCATGGCCGGGAATTGTATCATAAGCAAGAACTAGAAATTTGTCAGCAATGCGTTATAAATGACACATAAGTCACAGTGAGTGTTAGGAGGTAGCAGTGCCCTGTAACAGGGGGCCACACCCCTGTAGCGAGGGCTATTAGGACATGCAGCGTGTCTTTGAAGAGGCTGGCTAGGAACCGTGCTTGCTTTGACCATGGTCATGAAGAAACACTACTGATGAGCGATGGGAGGATGGGCAGAGATGTCTCTGCTGCTACTCCGCTCGTTATTTGAACAGCGACGCGGCTCACGGTCATCAGAAGTCCGTTTCATCAGTATTGTCTTTTATCCGCTAGCAAGGTGCTAAATCGATAACCGCTATGTTCAAGTGATTTGGTTATAAAGACACTTATGATTGACTGAGACAAATAGGTAATCATAGGCACCACTGCGAACAAATGGACCCCCAAACCTCCCTCGATAGTCCCACTCTCTATCCTCGACTCGATACGTATTATCAATAATCTCCTTACCTCAGTTGGCTCAGGTCAAAAGAAAGTTAGATCACTGCTCTGCCCAGCAATAGGGGACAGCAATGCGCTTCAGTGCTATGACCTTTTGGAGACATTTGTGGCTGCGTTGCGATCGCCTTGGAGGCCGCCTGCCTTGACCTGTCTCGCTTGGATCCTTCAACGCAGGTATCGGATGGCGAATTCATTCTTGCCGCTTTTCCCCGTTCAAAATGAGAGCCTTGCGGCAGTGCTGACATTGTAGATCTTCTATGTGACAGACTGTCCACTGCTAGCCTCACCCTCGCGGGATACTGTTGGGTGGTATTAGCGTTCTATTGGTTCAAATGTTTGGCCCGGATGACAAACTCTGGTTCGACTTTATTGTCATAAGGAGGGGTCCAGAATGCTACATAATACCAACTGCATAAAACTGAGGCTCTGCGGGCACCTGAGTTACAGCATGGCTTGATCATCAAGACAAGCCCGAAGCAAATTGCAATGAATGTTTCATCTTGTCGGCAGCTTCATTACCATCAATATCTCTGTGTCCAGGAATCCACTTGACGGTCACTCCAGGAGTGTGTGCTGTGGCGAGTTCTTGGAATCGCAGAAAAATGTTTTGTGATGTCTCAGGTGGAGTCCTATTGAGCCCATCCACCACTGATGTGTTGTCCAGGCAGACATATAGCTGTTTTCCGTATCCAATTGCCCTGGCTGCTGCAAGACCTTGGAGAGCACCATGGACTTCAGCATCCACTACTTCTGCTTGTAGAAGTCTGCCCCTTCCCCGGTATATTTCTTGTGTAGTGCCACCTTTCCTGATGGTATAACCCCATCCAGAGGTGGTGGCTGTGTCTTGCTTGTTGGCCCTCTTGCGGAGTCAAGCGGCTATGAAGGATTGGGCCGGAGGCAGTGACGTGGTGTGATATACATGCATGGGATTAAGTGAGGCTATGTACGAGTCACTTGTGACCACTCATTTACATACATGTCAGAAGCGAGGAAATACCAGGATAGGACGCTAAGCCCATTCTCCGTCCTGGTCTTGATCCAATTCCTGCTTTATAATCCGGTTCTAACCCGTGGTTCAGCTCCTGTTAGCGATCTAATCCCTGCTTATAATTCTGTTTCATCTTTCCTGGCTGCTGTCCAATCAATCCCATGATCCATTGCCACCTCACGTAGACATGCAGTATAACCTCCCTGCGAACCAGCAGGCGCCTGCCGTGTTTTTATGGTGACACAATGGCCAGGGCACCACTTCGTAATAAACTCCTGGATCCTGGCTGCGGCGTCAGACTTTCGGTATGCGCACTGGCAAGACATTGCAGCGTTGCCACGGAGTCCCCAGATCGCTCCTGTGTTGTCCACGCACACCCAGGCGCTGGCTCCTCCCAACTTCTCTCCCAACTTCTCTCCCAACTTCTCTCCCAACTTCTCTCCCAACTTCTCTCCCAACTTCTCTCCCAACTTCTCTCCCAACTTATCCTCCCCATCCGAGCCATCTCTCAACGAAGAAGACGTCTCCGCCAGTGAATTCGTCGTCTGCAAGTTTAACGTTGAGAAGATCCTGGCCAAGCGGATACTCTTCTAGTCATTGTATGCATCTATATCTCACTGGCTTCTTTGACCCCGACGTATTGACGCCATACATACCCCCCGATCCTTGACTTCTTGATAGAATTGCTTTCCCATAATCAACTATCCCTCAAGCGTTGCTCTGCTGTCTGAAGTGAAGCACTACAAATGGACAATGCTGCTTTATCGGGATACTCGGGTTCACCAGGTAGTGAGAACCACAGTGCTGTCTTTCGCAAACGAGCACGGATTGAAGTGATACTTCAAGAACCGACGCCCGACGAGGCTCCTGCCGGCAGGCTTGAAAAACGGCGGTTTACAAACCCAGAACGCGAGAGCGAAATGAAAACTCAACGCCCGCGGAGAAGTGCTCGCCAGGCAAAGCTCCGACCTTACTCCAAACCCGGTTTAGGGCCTCCTGACCGCCCGCTCGTTTTTGATCCCAGATTCGAACAGGATCTTGCTCAGAACAATGCCAACCCACAGCCCAGTAACCTTAAGCGCGGACCAGGCCGACCTAGGGGTCCTAAAGCAAGCAATTGCCTGCACAGAACAATCGACTCTGAGTCAAGATCTACCCGAAATATCGCCAAGGTCGGTGCTATCGACGCATTGCCTATTACGCCCTCTAATGATACAAGTGGTGTTACTATCTCTATTAGTGCTCACTATTCTGATATCTCCACAAATACTGATGCAGCCCAATATTGCAATGCAAGCACTCAGACCGTGCCCACCGACTATTCCCATGCAAGAACCATCTCCATTCCCACCGTTGAGCGTGCTCGAGGCAGAGTCGCGGTGGCAGCTTCCGCCGCGAACATCGAGCTCACGAAAGGGGCCAGAAAGTCCAGACTCCCGACACTCGGGGAAAAACAAGCCAGGACAAAGGATTGTGCAACAATTCTATCGGCTATCAGGCCATTTTCAAGCGCTTATAAGTTTAAAGTATCGCTATATCACAATGGTGACGTATTATGGAAACAGTCGAGTGGAGAAGCCTGCCTAAAACTCTTTTACAACAGAGATAAGACAACAATGGGTACAGTGGGCTCTCCGGTAAAGGCTATGATCGAGCCGGCTAATGTAGTCGGGTTTTGGAGGATGCCCCTCGCCAATTCGTACAACAATAGCATCATATCGCTCAAGTTAGGGGGCGATGTCAGCAATATTGTGGAGCTAGTGTTTGACCGTAGCGAAGGAAGCCCGCTGGAAATCGGCAAGATCCAGTCAAGGAACTTCGTCCGTTGGCTGCGTGGGGTGAACCCGATGATTAAGTACGTAGAAAGACATGATGCCTAGGAGGCCGCAAGCCCAAGGCATACACCCGACCAACGTTAGTCGGGACAGGCCGAGAGGCTACGCGACAACGTTTTCAGGCGGATGATGGGCATGCTGGGTTGCTTCCTGACTCATTATTATCACAGCCACCGGCAGGCCATGAGTAAAGCAAGTTAAGAGACGACTCGGATTGGTTCGTTATGACTGATCCACAAGACCACAATGATCCAGCTGGTAGCAATCTTGGGTCATTTTTACCTCCTTTGAGTCTAATTGTATTTATAACCCCAGGTAGTTTCTTAGGTGACGCCTGCGGCGAAGCCTTTAGGTTAGCCGTGGCAGCATAAGCTACTCAGTGTGCCATCCAACTGGGAGGCTACTGAAACGTGATGGTGTGGCAAGGGGTCGCCTGCTTCGTGAGTAGCTACCACAAGGGGTACCGGGAAAAGAACACGCTCAAGGTGGTGTATTGTTTCGTGCCAGTGGTGTGGCACTTACGGACGGTACTGCCGTTCTGGCAGGGGATCCAGGGGCTGGTCCAACGATTACAACAGGAGAGATAAGCACAGAGGTATCTCTATCCACCCTTTAAGAACCAACCCGACTGATATACTTTAGCTGCTATATATAGGATGCTAAACACTTGAAGGGGCTGTCTCTAAGTTCAACTGTTTGCAAAGCTCGAACAGGGGATGGCCTTAACCGCCAAGGGTGTCCCACTACAAGGAACAGAATGGGCTGAACGAGACTATGCCATAATGCAGGCATCGAATATGTATAATATTAGACTTTGAGAATACAGCTTTGCTCGACTAAAACAATCACTATTTACGAGGGCACAGATTAGACGTAGCAGTGGAAGAGATAGCCGCCGTTGTTACTGAAACACTGGTCAATGTCGAGACAAGACAACTCGTAGCGTTGTTTGTACAGCAGGAGGCCTGGAAAGCTCCATTGGTAGCACAGAAATTGGAAATATCACAGGTTTGAAGGTGTGGGAGCTGGTGAGCGACCGCAGCCATGGGATTTGTGAGGCTGATGGCGACGATGTTTCCACGCTTCATGCTGTCCGAGAGCGGTTTGTGCGGTAGTTCGCGAGGTGATGAATTTCTAAAAACACGTTCTGGCTGGACAAAGGTTGTAACATATGGTCTAGTCAATAGGGTTTCGGTTGGGAAGCTCGAGGATACGAGCAGTTCGGCACTTGTCCTAGATTTAATTCTTTTACTTCTCTTCTAGACACCAACTCTGGAAATAGCCGGTAACCGATTACTAATGTAGCCAAAAATGGCTATTGGGTCCGTGTTCCTACTATTGCCGATTCGGCCTCTAGAAAGCCCTTCAAATGGCGTGTCCAAGTTTCAGCCCTTAAGAGCCAACCATTTTAAGCGTCCATTTACGGTCCGGAACAAGATGAAAGAGCTGAAAGCTAGACTTCCCCTGCATATAGCGCTGCCTGAAAGGACGGTGGTGGTACGGCCCATGCGCCCACCGTGCACTGTTGACTTCTCACACATCGCAGGCTTGCATCATTCCACCCACTGTGACTCATAAGAGTCACCGCCTTGAAATGCGAGACTTTCCCGCCCGCCATTACACACACGGGTTGAAGCCGAGGTCCAATCAACAGCAGCGGGTATGTTTCAGTGTATAGATCCCTTTTGACAACCGAAATGATTGGATGTACATCATTCTCGTCCAAACATCAGGTTTAGCTGCCGGGATCAGTCGCCCACCCCGGGAAAATATTAGCCAGAGGGACCTATGGATACGGACGTCCTGAGATCCACAGTTTCAGGTCATAATAGGTGATTTGTGCTATTACATAAATATGCATTCGACCAAACCATACCGGCTTACCTCTGCTCCATTGGTGCACGGAAGGTGTACCAGGGGTTGGTACAGGAGCCTAGAAAGGGCTCCAATACGTGACCAAGGCCCCTCCGGAGCTGAGCCAGCGCCGGATCTGGGTATCAATGCTATCATCCCGCTACAAAGACTGGAATCTTGAGTATCACTTACACTGTCATAAGGAGCTGCAGGTGCTTTTTAGGTCAGCACTACCTCACTATCTCGCTGTCCGTACAGGGCATAGTGGCTTTGTTTGGTATTTTGAGGGGCTATAAAGGATAGGTCAGAGGGCAGTGACATGGCATAATACACATGCGCCCTGTGACATTGATGGCCAATCATTCTCTGTCATCAATCGAGCTGCCTTACGGTTCGCCCGTAAGAACCAGAGCATGTAAGTCTCGTGAGGCACCACTAGTTTATATATAGTCTGAAAAGGAGTTAACTTATTGTTTTTTATCCCTTTTAAATAGTTATTATATAAGCCAGATACTTCCAGACTCCAAGTACGTCTCAATGGTTTATATCTTTCATTAAATTTTATAGATGACTCTTATCTCTTTGCCTCTCCCACAAGAATGTTCTTATTCTATATATCACCTATCCCTCAATAGCAACAATAATATTTGTTTTATTATCTCTGTACCACACTACAACTCCAACATGCCTAATAGCAATCTTAACATCCTCTCAACAGTGGCCACTTCTCTTACAGATATTCCTGCTCACGATGTCGCCGCAATGAACGGACTCTTTCGCCATCACCTTGATCTTTTCCCAGATAATCATATTGAACAAAGCCCACCCACTTCCGATACGACATAGCCAAACACCCCAGACCGATATAAGGGCCTCATCTGTAATACAGACACGCTATTAGTTACAGGATCCCCTATCAGCAATGACTTAGGACAGGCGGCACGTATCATCAGCAAGACGTCTCCTGTAGCACAGCACCAGGCCGCTTGTCACGAGGGACAGTGGGCTAATAACGGCTTTTTAATAGTCCCAACACTTCCTGTTCACAATGGACCTTTGTCTCCTTAATCCGTATTGAATATACTCCAACCTCAGGACAACATAAGCCAGTACCTATCCCTTAACACAAGTATTGGCTGTTACTCGTATGGCATGATGTCAAATCAAAACCTGAATGCCTAACAAGGCTCTCTTACTTCCTCTTTTATGACGCCGTAACCTTGTATCGCAGCTTCCTATTCGCAGCCAACCGTATTCACTCCCGCTGGAAGCGTTATGGCTCAGACCCGCCGACTTTCTGTTTATGGCGGACACTCCATGATATCTCACGAGAGATTGCTAGTCCAGGACGTCCAACAGGCCACCCATATCGTTAAGCCCCAAGGCCGTCGCGGTATCCTTCCAAATGCTGCCGGGAGAGCCGCCGCCCCCACAGGTACCGGCACGTCCAAGAACACGGTGACTCCTCAAAAGGACGCGGATAGAAAGTTCCCTTGCCCTCACTGTACCAAGACTTACTTCCACGCCAAACATTTAAAACGTCATCTCCTATACCGTAAGTCTTGAAGTAAATTAGATATCTTGTTAATATGCTGACATTATCATACCAGACACTGGCGATCGCCCTTATATGTGCGTGTTGTGCCGTGACATGTTTTCGCGAAGTGACATCCTTACACGTCACTTTCAAAAGTGCATGACCTTCTGTAAGCCAGCAGCGGTGGAATTCTTGCTGCACCTCCTTGAAGACCTCTGAGCTCGGGTATCCACTCAAGTGCTTGTCGAGAAAACGTTCTAAATTCGAGAGCTCGTCGATTGGTGCATTAGTAAAACTAAAAAGCTGGAGTGCTAGAGAATCTTTCATGGCTTTCCAGTAAGAAACACCATGTAAGCCGGAATTCGAGGCCTGAAATAAAGCTACTACTGAATCGTAGAGATCTTGCGAGTTGGCTCTCTCTTTCTGATCCCTTTGTCTATTTACTGCTGGTAGAGCGAAGGAGAGGCGAGGAGACGAATCAGCAGAACCGGCAGAGCTTATTATACTCGAGGGCCTTAAAATTAATGTGTTGATAGAGTCGAAGCCACTCGGTCTCGTCTTCGTGCTGCAAAAGCTCAAGCCATCTGAAAAATATGTTGCGACGAAGGGTACTGGGACCGTACTCGAAGTTGCATCGTAGTGTCTGTATTTCTTCTCCAACTCGTTGTATGAGCGCATACAGATTTCCAAGTTGATGGCATCAAACATATCAGTTCGGAGCTTGAACACACGCTTCTTATCAAAAAGGAAGGTGTTCGGTGGCGTCGTGTGATGAGCCTCCGGCGACGGCAGGACTATTGCAACTAGCGCTTCAAAGAAGACGGCCATCTTTCTAAATATTTGCATTGAAATTGGACCTGGGCGATGGATTCTGCACATCGATCTGTACCAGTCTTAAGCGGGCACAGTGTCGAGTTTGCTATCTCGTATCCTTTTTAGGAAAAAACGTTGCTTAAAATGCACAGTATCCCTGATCAAAGTCGGCCGGAGACACCTGATCTGGTTATTGGCGACGTCGAGCTTCATCGCCTCCAGCACGCTCAGCAGGTTGCGCATTCCCTGGACCAGCTCCCCCACGTCGTTTGTCCGGTTGCCGTTTGTCAAATGAGTGTACATCCGGCCACCCACTCATCTCTCATAGGTGCATAATGAGACTTGAAGACTCCCGAAAACCAAGAGGCCAGCTTTTCCAGATCTATCATTCCCTTGCTGAACTGTTGCATAATCAGATCCACGTTGAGGCCCTCATCCAGATACATGCGATCCCTGGCAGGGATCAATGCCTGAATGATCTCTTCTACAGATCTCAGTAGCAATGGCAGGCACCACTCCTCTCCGTGGCCAAACAGTCTCATGAACTCATCTTGGTCTTCGACAAATAGCTGTAGTTGGGTGCCAAGAACGTTCCAAAACTGGATCGCCTTTTCCTGCTTCCGCTTGCCTTTTTCTCCCTCGAGGTTTGGACAGAAATGAAGCGCGGGATCAAAGTTAATGTCGTGACGCAGTTGGGGGTTGTGAATGATACGAGCCACGTCCAGTTCCCTCATTGTCGCCATCGTCACTGGCGGTTCAAAAGGTAGGGGCGCTCGTTCATATGCAGGTCCTGCACCTCCCGATGGGTTCGAATCGGCGGTAGAGAGGCGTTTGTGAGGGTTATTCTTCACCCCTCGGCTCTCGGTTCTGTCGGCTCCACTGCTGTCCATCATTCTCATTTATTGCTTTCTGGTTTACTAGGTACAACTTTTGTGTAGTGTCCAGCTGCGTATGTATCCTATCACCGCCGGTATTAGGCACAGATTTGAACGAAGGAAACAATATTGCAGCCGGAAGAGATGAGACAGATCAATGATAGATAAGGTAGCAAAAGGGACTTGAGAATAAGGGCTATACGCGCTGTCTTATCCACCATTCTTTGTGATTACTGGCGTTGTGTAAGAAAAGTCGAGAGACGGCTGAGAATAAGTGGCTATCAGCGGCCATGGTTGGTGGCGGCTGCATTCAAATAGTTCATTCCCACCTATCTCTCAGCTCGTCTGACGTGGCGCTTGGGATAATGATGGTACAACATGATCAGGATGACTCATAACAGACGACCACAAGCTAAGAGGGACTAAGGTGCGAATGCATAGGACTTCACAGCGACGTACTGGCTTTTGACAGGGGGTTGAGGCCTATCCCACCACCAGTAGTAACAATCGTTCTTAGGAGGTACCTAAGCCGCGTTGTGGCGCGGCCGAGCCTTTATACCAACTTTTACGTTGGTCTTCTTGAATGAGGTTAACATCTCTAAAATCTCAGGTCGGGCAAAAGAACACTGCTTCAGTCCGTATCAGCTACAGTCCATATCAGCTACAATAAACAAAGGCCAAACCATGGCAGTATGGCCTCCTGAGAACGTTCTGACGTTGGGATATCCCTTGGATGAAACGACCGTGCCGTACTGAAGCTTCTGGCATTGGCCTACGTAATAGTGACTGACGCCCCCTACCACTGCCAGGTCCTTATGGCAAGCGGCATATAAAATATGAGACTTAACAGCGCATAGAGTATATAGAACCAACCATCAGGATGACTTATAGACAGACTACAAGCCAGAGAAACCTTTGACCTATGGATACCGACACCCTGGAGCCATGGTTCCAGGGCAGGAAAATAAACTTGCTACCACACTGTCTGACAACAGCGCTTGGAAGCCATTTCCAGCTTGTGAGGCGGTGACTCAAAGGGTCGCCTGCGTTGTCGGGCCAGGATCAGTCACCCATTACCAGGTCGTTTTTGGCTGCCGAATCACCTCAACCTTGCCTGCTAGGAATGATAGGTTATCAATACACTCTCTGGAAAATGACATAATGTCGATATGCTGTGTCAATAAAGAAGTAGTAGCAATAATATTCCTCTCACAGCGGGCACATCCTAGCGCTCTACGCAATGCCTAATTTCTCTAAGGGATATGGAATATATGAATATATCGTATCATCTCAATTCCGCTCTAAAAGTTCAGGTGGCACATGAGTTTACTTCCCGCGTAAAATATAGTCAACACCCTATTAGGTATGCGAGACAATAATGCCTTCATATTCACAATAATAATTAATGAATGTTAGGCTGTTTAAAGACGAATAGCTTAGAAACGGTTTCAAACGAGCATTCGAGAATCACAATATGCCTCGCGGCGCATACGACACGACTGAGGTACATAAACCTCCTCCGAGGCCACAACCAACCCAAGATCATCAAGTTCAAACAGCAGGACGCCGTCCTCGACTGCTCGTGCGGCCGGAGCAAGACTCCGACGCACTTCATCCACTGCCGGAAGAGTCTGGCACGGTACATGGTCTGGCCGAGGGCCCCAGCATCCCGGCCGAAGCTTGGAGCCAGGCTTGAGTATCTAGACGAACTCATGACTTCCCCACGGGAGTACATGGACCTACTCGTGGCTACCCGTTTCTACGGTAGCATCTGTCCTCCACACTGAGGGCACACTCACTCTTTTCTTCTGTCACGGCGTCTGGGGGCTCTATCTTTTTATCTCTCCCTTTTAACGTCCCGTCCTCGAGCACCCGCCACCGCGGGTCCCTTACCTCGCCGCGCAAGCTGCACCGCAGCCGGGCGTACCTCTGCGAGGAATCCACGTTGCCGACGCCACATGTGCGACCGCCAGGGCTTGGGCTTGGGCAGGGGCAGCAGCGCACCCACTCAATCCCGGTGCGCAAGCGGCAGCCGCGCACGCCGACTTCAAAGTCTGGCGGTTTTGGGTCTATGGGAGGGGGTGGAGGAATGAGCATGGGTGTGGGCGGCAGTGGGATCGATTTTGTCAACTTCACACTGTCTGACAAGGACGTGCTGATGGCGGGCGTGGCGCCTAGCGGGTCTAGAACGACGAGGGCGCCGCGAGGAAGAGGCCATGGAGAAGCGGCGCAAAATGAGCGAGGCGGCGCTGAAGGCCGTGCGGGCTGCTGGCGGGGATATTAGTAGGCTCGTAGAGGAGGGGTTCGTAATGTGACGCCAACCTCCCCTGCCTTGACTAACGTTACCCTGACATATCTTCTCCGGACCTAGACTCCCCTGATAACTAGTTGGAGTGTGCTGGGAAAGAGGTAACAGGGGCCAGGTACTTTCCTGTAGAAGTATAATTTAACTAGGTATTCGTTTGATTTGTTTCTTGTGATTTTCAGCCGTCGCTCGAACGTATAGACTAAGACCTGGGCTTCATGAGAAGGAGCGGAAACTGGCAGGCTTCAGATAAATTTTTTTTTTTGACAGGGGGCTGACTTGTTACTATATACATAGGTTCATTCGTACTAAGCTCAAATCATTGAAGTCTTTGGTTAGTTTGCAAGGCTATCAAGGCTGTGCCACAGGTCTGGCCCAACTACCTTGACCTCAAGAATCTCGATGGGTCAGCGCCCATCGTCATTGCGATATCTGGTCGTATCCAGGGGAACAGGCGGAAGCACTGCAAAACCCTTAGCATAGTGGTATGTGCACCCTTGGCAAGGAAATATTTTGCGAGAGAATTCACCCCCTCTAGCAAGGCAGGGTCCAAAGAACACACACAGTAGGTATCTATCCATTTTGCTCTGTTTCTTCCCTGCGCACACTAGTCACGGCATGCAACCCCTAGATAACGGGCCCTATAACGCCCTGAAGGCTCACTACCAGAAATTCCTTTCTCAGCTAAGTTCTCTGACGGATGCCTCGCCTGTTGACAAGATCAACTTCATTCGGTGCTATAGCCAGGCCAGAACTGCTGCTTTTACTAAGGCAAACATCCTCTCTGGATTCAGAACCACTGGATGTTATCCTATCAGCCGCAGGAAGTGCTTAGCGCACCCAGAAATCCAGGAAGAGAAGCAGAAGACCCCTGAGCCTGAGACCCCTGAAAGCTCTGAACCAGAGGACCAACGGACCCCTACTACGAGCCGCCAGATCAGGAATTTCGGCAAAAATAACTCCCCTGGCACCCGGCTGAAGTACAGGAAGATAGCTACTGCGTTCGAGGCTAAGGAGACCGACCTTGTTATCAAGGACAGGAAGATCAAGGCCCTGGAGGATGAACTGGAGCGGCTACGGCCAAAGAAGCGCCAGAAGATTCCTAATCCTAACAAGAAGTTCAAAACAGTCACAGAGGTACTAATTACTGGTGGTACCATCACACCTGGTGCCTCTGCGGATGTACCAGAAGTTGTGGTTGATGATGACGAGGAAGAAGAAGAAGAAGACGAAGACTCGGCTGAAGAGGCCGCTTTGGAGGCCATACAGGAGCCTAGGCAGACCCGTTCGGGGCGATCTATTCGGGCGCCCACTAGATATTACAAATGAGCAGCTTCAGCGCGCTCGAACTGATAAATGTCATGATGCCTCCCAGCCCCCTAATCATCACCGGATCTCGCGACAGCCAGTTGCGCGTGTGGCGTCTCCCGGAGACGGGATCGAGAAGATACATTCAGACCGACCCGCAAGCGAATGATGTTAACTGTCCCTACTTTATCCGCACGCTCCAAGGTCACAGTCACTCGGTACGCGCTATCGCCGCACATGCCGATACTCTGGTGAGCGGGAGCTACGACAATACTGTCCGCGTATGGCATATCAGTACGTATATTTTAACAGGCCACAAGCAAAAGGTGCATAGTGTCATTTTAGATGTTTCCCGTAACCGCTGCATATCGGGTAGCATGGACGGCTATGCCAAGATCTGGGATCTGGACACGGGGTCGTGTCTCTATACTCTCGAAGGGCACTCCCTGCATGTTGGCCTGTTAGATCTCCGCGATGAGCACCTGGTCTTGACCGCAGGAAACAGCACTCTGAAAATATTCAATCCCGAGAGCAGACGATGTCAATCAACACTGGCAATGCACGCTGGTGCGATCACCTGCTTTCAGCATAATAGACATAAAGTTATCAGTAACAGCGATCGTGCTTTGCAATTATGGGACATCCACACAGGCAAGCACCTCGACGACCTGCTCACAGATCTTAGTGCTGTCTGGCAGGTTCGGTTTGACGATCGACGTTGTGTGGCTGCCGTTCAGCGTGATAACTTGACATATATCGAGGTGAGTTCAGGGAAGCTCCTCGGCTGGGTTGTGCTTCTACTAACCGGTCTCGCGTAACAGATTCTTGATTTTGGCGCCGTTCGTGATGGCAAACCGGCCGAGGAGCTGGGAAAACGCATCCTCCTCACTGCACCCGAAGATGAACAAATTTTTGAAGAGAACTGAGTACGCGATGTGTGTTGGATTCTGGGTTATCCTAGCTCATCCATAGACATCCTTCTGGATCACCAACCCCACGGACAGTTCAGGAAAGTTTTACCAAATCATCCCCGCCGAGGTGAATTGGACGGCTATCACACACAGATGCCCCGACGCCTGCAATTGGATTTTTGGCAGTGGTGATCCTGACATAGCAGGGCCTGGGGTTTGTTCGCACCAGGTGCACATATATCTCATTGCACTGGCATTGGTTGGCAGGTAGTCACTGCATACCGGTTCCAAGTCACATTCCTGATCCTCTTCTCCTACCCATACCTACTCGCCTGCCATCTGTCCACTCGCGAGGGAGAGAAACGCCTTAATCATCAGCTTGTTCGATTCTGGAAAGCAAATGCAGTCTTTAGTGTGCCATTTAGGCTTGTTGGTACACTTATTGTCCTCCTTGAAAACTCGATGTTTTTTGACCTTGCCGTTCTCGACAACCTCATTCAAGTCCAGTGCTCATACCGCCGCAACAACGGGGATGGGCCCGTGAGCGGGACTGACTGTACTTATTATCTTGAGACCTCCACAACCCTGCGATACAGAGGCTCTGGGAGGCGTGGTTTGCACTACTGAGGAGCTACCCCCCACGTTAAATACAATCAATCAATCAATCAATCAATCATAAAGCTGCATGGTATCTTCAAATGATGGGCCAGGGGCCTGAGGCGCAAATCATGGCGGAGGATACGATGAAGTACAGAACAAAGATACTTGGGAGGACGCACGAGGAAAGTCTTGCTGCCATCGAGATGGTAGTGTATACCAGTCTAATGGTCCTCGCGGCGTCCCAGCCACCCCGTCACAAACGCCAGGCCTTGCCCAATCAGATATCTTTGGGTGGTATTGCGCATACGTCAAATCCTTGTTATGTCCTATATTCGGTGTGTGATTGACTGCGTCAGTGGTCTCTAGCTGTACGGGCGGAAATTCATTTCTGACTAAGAGCTACGAACGGAACAAGAATGGAGCTTTCAAGAACAGAGCGGTTCAGTAGTCGGAGCATATGGTGATTTGGACCATTGGGAACATGCATTCATTTTGGCAGGGAGTAACTATGAGTTTAGAAGTTCAACCTGATTCATTAAGCAAAGTATCAGACCTTTATTATGCAACTAGTGAACATACTTGATAGAACTGATATATAGAGCACGCACTAATGCTTCTTGTTCCGCGCTTAGCCGTGGGGTTTTCCTTCCGTAGCCCCCCCCTCGCTTTCTGGCTCGTATGTCCTTTGCAGATTCCGGGGGTTGGGATAGTATGGTGCTTGATCATGTCTGCGCTCTATGTAGAATGGTGGATGTACCTCCCAACCAGAATTCAGGTGCAGCAGACGAACCTGTTCGTTTACAAGATTCTCTATCGGCTTTCCAGCCCATGTTGCCAAGTTCTGCTTCCTGAGAATGACTTTGATCAATTGTAGATTGTTCTGGCCTGGCTTGTGGGCGTTAAGAAAGTCATAATATCCATTAAAGATATCGAAAATAATATAATTCTTCCTATCAAACAGTTGTATAGCGTACAGGCTTTGGACTGTGGACAAACTACACCCGTTCACAAAGCGAACCGTCCTACCGGCCATCGCACGAGGCCGAGGTGCGGGAGGGTACCAACGATCCAAGATCAAGATACAGGCAGTAGCACGCATGCTGCCCCCGGTACAGCGGCCCCTGCTGGTGCCCCCAAGATTCACGCCAGGCTGCAGGGTTGATCCAACGAGAGGTCAAACCAAAGAACATGCAGCAAAGTCTTTTAAGGCTTGGTTCCAAGTACTGCCTCCAGAGGATGTAATAGTGTTCTCAGACGGATCTAAGGAGGATAATACGTAGAATACGGCTACGCGGTCTACCAGGGCGGGCACTAGTCGCCTCAAAAAAGGGCCGCCTACACTCGTGCTCTATCGTATTCGACGCAGAAGTGGTAGGAGCATGGAAACGGCTCCAGTACGTGACCAAGGCCCCTCCGGAGCTGAGTCAGCGTCCAATTTGGGTGTGCGTGGATAATACAGGAGCGATCTAGGGGCTTCGCGGCAATGCCGCGGTGTCCTGTCAGTGGGCCTACCTAAAGTTCCAGTCCACTTGCAGAAGTCTCCGAATTCCTTCGGGTGCGTTATTAGCCATTTCCAATAGGCTCTCCCTTCTGGTTCGGGTTCTCCGTTGTGTCCGCGGTTCCTTCGTGGCCACCTGGACCGTTTTGCAAGGGCTCTGTTGCAGAAGGCAAAGTGGGCTCGCGTTTTAATTCTCCCGCTAGAGCAGTTGTAGTGTTCTTTGTGCTTGAACCTCCTATGGTACCAGGAAAAGTCTCCGTGGCCAGTTCTAGATGCGATAAGCCTGTGAAGCGTTGGCCTGTCAAGCTTGAGCTCTTCTGGGCACTTGAGTGTAGTTTTCTGAAGGCCGAGACTTTTATATTTCTCGGTGATGTTCTCGTCCCACCATTGCTGGTGCTCTCTTTGAATCTTTTCGTTGACAAGGCCTAGGACGCCTGCAAGCGTAGGTTTGGCCCCGGTAGGGATTGGCAAGGTAGTACCTTCTTTTGCCTTTACGTCGGCCTCTTCGTTAACGGCCTGCACGGACCTTCCCACATGACAAGCGGATACTTCCCAATAGGGGAAGGATCTGACCAGAGGATCCCCTTAAAGGGGCAACCTCCCACTGTACCTATCTCTCTCTCTCTCTCTTCCTTTCCTCTCTAGTCTTGATATTCTCGTCAATAGAGTAATAGCTGCTTGCTGCAGGCCATGTCCCAGCTCCCCAGTATGCTCGCCGTGACAATAATCACATTTCTTACATAACCGTTATGTTTCCAATTTGCAGGTAGGTTTTTAGATCAGCCGGTTTTATTAATATGTTTTTATTTTAGTTACAAGTTCCTTTGCTCCTTTCCTCCTTTGATAGTATAACTATTAACTAGATGTGCGCATAGAGACTTGGCTCCAAATATCCTTCTCTATCAAACCCGATCCACGCGACGCGTTACCTACGGACCTGCCCTCCGACACCCTTGATACTACCGCCGTCTACGTTACATCCACAACCCCGTCACTGTTCGATATGGACACTGCTAGCTATCAAACGGCAAGAGTTAAGGTCGCCGCCTTGGCTTGCTGTTTGAGCTGTGGCAAGAAGTACGACCCAGCACGCAGCCCTTAATAGCATCATTTCCTATACGCCAACGACGATGAGACCGTCAATCCATACGACAGTACCCGCCACGACCATATTGCCATACGCGAGACCCTGCAGAACATTTGATCGACCGCAATTGCCTTCCGCGATGGGCTTGCGGATGACGTTGTCCCTCAGCTGCTGGCCAGGCTGCTGATGGCATTCGAAGCCCAGGAGGTCGGCATGGACGAGGCAATGGCATTGGCTGCTTCATCGTTTCGGGACGAGGTAGAATGGGTCTTGCAAGAGACGGCCCGTCACCCTGACTGAACCGTATCACCTGGTGGATCATGGACAATGACAGTGGCGATCCTATAGCAGATGTCAGCATTTAGATGATGGCATGCGTGGCATGGATTGATGACAACAACGGAGTAAAATGTATTAGCAAACGCGGTGCTCTTCACATCGTCAAATACTGCGCTTATAAACCGGCCCAAAAGTTAAGAGATCGACATGTAGGAAGGGATAAAGTGCCATTATCGCCTATGCTGTTCTAAACGTTAAGCACGAACAGCCCGCAAGCCGCTCGTTATAAACACGCACTGCAATTGTTGGATCCATGCGATTCCAGCCTGCAAACCATCTATACCAAGACCCATATGTATGATTAGATAAGTGATTAGATACCGGATTGCGAGATCACTTAGCCAGACCTGCAGGTCTGGCTAGACCTCCCAACCCAACCATCAGCAACATCATGACCTTGACCCCATACTCGAGTATTATGATTGATCGTTCGAGCCTGTTCCTACAGCAATACTTATATATGACGTTATGGTCGTTTTCCTTGCTTCCTGACCATCTGACACTTTTTATTAAGGAAGTCGAGTTACTAAACTCAGAGACAGTCACTTCTCAAGAGTCTCAGCGATTCTGTTGTGCCCCATATGTTCTGTGTATCTGGTGGTATTCCGGTCTGGAGAAGCTTTTTCACTGTGGTTGTGGTTCCTGATGCTGCCGCGTTATACAGTCTGGCGATGGCAAAATCCTCCTCTTGAACAGTGACGATGCAGGCTTGGCAGGACAGGAAGCGAAGAATGTCGAGTTGGCTACAAGCAGCAGCAATACATAAAACAGCACTAGAGATAAACGATCTGGTCAGTAGGCTTCGGTGAAGAAGCAGCGCCATCACCTCCTTGCCATTGCCTGTGTTCCGTGCTGCCGCCTTGACCACTTCTTCTATGACGGGGAGCTCGTCTCCTCGTCGGTCAAGAAGCAGCGCCATCACCTCCATGCCATTCCTCGAATTCCCTGCTGCGGCCTTGACCACTTCTTCTGTGATGGGGAGCTCGTCTCCTCGTCTGTCAAGAAGCAGCGCCATCACCTCCTTGCCATTGCCTGCCGCCTTAACAACTCTCTGATGGATACCTCGGCTCCTCGTCGGTCAAGAAGGAGCATCATCACCTCCTTGCCATTCCATCTGTTCCCTGCAGCCGCTATGACCACTTCTTCTGTGATGGATACCTCGTCTCCTCGTCGGTCAAGAAGCAGCGCCATCACCTCCATACCATTCCTTCTGTTCTTTGCTGCCGCCTTGACCACTTCTTCTGTGATGGGGAGCTCGTATCCTCGTCGGTCAAGAAGCAGCGCCATCACCTCCTTGCCATTCCTTTCGTTCGTTACTGCCGCCATGACCACTTTGATACTTATCTGTGCCTTGTACTCTAGCAATTGTGTGATTACAATCTCATGCCCACCAATGGCTGCCGCACTCAGTGGAGTTTTGTTTTGACTATCGTCGCACTCTAATATTGCCATAATATCGGAAGCCATCTGCTGATGTGGACTGTTACACAAATAATCAAAAATGGCCGGGATGCCATAATATCCTGCGATATGTAAAATTGAGGCTTGTCTTGGGAGTATCACGTCACCCCTGTACCGTCCAATGCCTCTATAAAGCCAAGCGTCTCTAGGTAGAGACTTGACTTCAAAAAAAAATCGCTTGCGTATGCTTGATTTTGAACTCGTCTCTTGCGAGTCGCGCATGTGAATCCCAATGATTAGATGCGTAGGAAGAAAACTCTTTCTCCCACTGTGGACGATCCTTGATCAGCTCAAAATCGCGAATGAGCTGATCTACACACTTGTATGCCATGTCCGCATGGAAATACACTTCCTGGACCCACTGTTGCGCATTATTGCTGGCGAGGAAATCCTTTACCGACTGGTGTAACAGGAGAACCTGTTCATCTTGAATGACAACCAGAAACCGGCAGGTGGTAATATCATCTCGAGTGAACTGAATGCGTGTCTCTTGGTCCTCGTCAAGGTAAGTTTGGCAAACTGCAGATAACTCTGAGACGCTGAGTGGCCGAAACGATACCGCGACGAGACCTAGAATTTGATTGACTTTGGCCTTTTGCCCAGGAGCATTAAGAGCATTGTCAAGTAGTCTTTTGTACAAGGCAGTTAGCCCAGACGGCATCTTCTTTAAGTGGTCGACCGCACTTTTCGAAGGAACCTGGTCTAGCTCCCCGCATGCCAAGCCGACCCAGAGGAAAGTGTTCTCGGATTTTTCTTTCAAGATATCTGTGACCTGCTTCTTTACGCTGTCCGTGTATTGCTTTCTGGCCGCAAGCTCCATAACCTTTTCGCTAATAAAGCGATCAATATCTTTCTTTGACTCAGGGAATGAGGCTAGGTCCTTGTTGCAAAATGCCTTCAAACGTTCTTGAATTTCTATGTAAGGTCGGCTTGTGACGAGTAGCTGGATGTCGGTTGCAGAGCTCTTGTGTTGGAAATCTTGCTGTAGTTGCTTCATGAGAATCTGCTGCGATTCTTGATCACACTCATCCAAGGCATTGATGATAAAGAATTTATGGCCGGTGGCTTCATCGGCGGCCATTTTATGCAAAACAGTCCACAAAGCATCAAATGAATCAAAGATCTTCTTTCCGCGCTCGAGGTATCTTGGCAGGAGGTAGTCGAGGAGAAGTCGCGGATGTTGTTAAATAAGCTGCAGGATGTTTGTTTGTTTGTTTTGTATTTAACGTGGGGGTAGCTCCTCAGTAGTGCAAACCACGCCTCCCAGAGCCTCTGCATCGCAGGGTTGTGGAGGTCTCAAGATAATAAGTACAGTCAGACCCGCTCACGGGCCCATCCCCGTTGTTGCGGCGGTATGACCTTGGGGTCATCCATCTGGTCCTTCAAGGAAGGCTATCTATCAGGGGCAAATTGTTGAAAAGAACTTGCTCTTCTCCACGAATTTTGCCCATTCTGTGCTCCTCTCCCCTAAGTATTGTAAACAAGCTGCCCTAGGCGAATGCCTAGGCAGTAGCCGATTTTTCCCCAGCCTCTTACAAAAGAAAATGTGTTGTGGTGTTTTCTTCTCACCACAGCTGCAGTGATCATTTGAATCTGTGTGCCCAAAGCGTTCATGGTATCTGGCAAAGTCGCCATGTCCAGATCTGGCCGCTAGAAGTCTGTGTAAAGTACTCCTCTTAAAAGATATAAGGTCTCTTTCAGTTACTGCATGTGAGTATACTTCTTGATACCTAGATTCTGATTGGTCTTTCCACCATTGGTTGAACTCTTTCTTGCCCTGTCTTTTGAGATCTCTCTTGACCCAAGAGATTGTAGGAAGATTTGTTGTGTCTGTTTCCAGCATGGCACCCTCTTTTGCTAGTGTGTCGGCAGCTTCGTTGCCATCAATATCTCTGTGTCCAGGAATCCATTTGACGGTCACTCCAGGAGTGTGTGCTGTGGCAAGTTCTTGAAATCGTAGAAAAATGTTTTGTGATGTCTCGGGTGGAGTCCCATTGAGCCCATCTACCACTGACGTGTTGTCCAGGCAGACATATAGCTGTTTTCCGTGTCCAGTTGCCCTGGCTGCTGCAAGACCTTGGAGAGCACCATGGACTTCAGCATCTACTACTTCTGCTTGTAGAAGTCTGCCCCTTCCCCGGTATACTTCTTGTGTAGTGCCGCCTTTCCTGATGGTATAACCCCATCCAGTGCGGATTGTGCCTTGGTCATCCAACTGTGATCCATCTGAGTAGATGACAAGGTCAGTGTTCACGTTTCTCTCTTGTAACCATTGCTTGAAGAGCTCTGTTTCTTTGTCTTTGTCTTTGCGGATTGGGCGCTTCTTCCATGATGGCCTGGTAAGTATTGGTCTCTGGAAGTCAGGGACTAGCTGGAAGCTTCTTTGTAGCCTTGTTGGATCCTTGCGAGCTTGTATTTGGAGCCTGCCAACCAGAGGGTGTCTCTGATCTATTCGTCCTAGTCGGAGGCCGTGACGTCGTCTTATTGACTCTGCAAGAACTCCTGCTGGGGGAATCTGCGATTCAAAGTGTAAGATATGTCCAGGGTGTGTTTTCCAGACTGGCAAGATAGCCCTGATCGCCGTTCGTAGTACGGCATCTATTGTTCCAAGAAGCCCCTTAATGCGACATGCTGATGTCTCACCTAAGCTCCCAGTTTTCTCGATTCCTGGGTACCAGGCCTCCAGGCCATGTGTGAGAATAGGAATAACACAAGCTTTCACAGCCCTCTTGGTTGACTTTACTGGAAGTCCTTTGACTGTGTTGCATAGTCCTCGAAGGTGATTTGCTACCCTACTAGCTTTCTTGGCCCAGTGAGAAACATGGTCTTTGAAGTTTAGTTTCCTATCCAGAAGGACACCTAGCCATCGCATGGAATGCTTAGCTGTTTTGTTCATTGTTCCGTGGCAAACTGGGGGATTGTCTGAGTTCTTTTTCCGTGAGAAGTGCATGATCTCGGTTTTGTCGGGATCAAATTCAATAGCATTGTTATGTCCCCATTGGTTGAGCAAATGAAGGTTTTCAGAAGCCTCTGCAGCTGTTTCTTTAAGGTTCTTTCCAATACAGAGTGTTGCTAGATCATCTGCATATCCAAAGCGTCTTCTTTTCATGCCAAGTCGGGCACAGATTGGCTCTGTATACAGCATGTAGAGGATTGGAGAGACTGGTGAGCCTTGTGGGAGCCCACAAGTGAGAGCTTTTATATCGGTCACAGTACCTTCAAACCGAACTCTTGCGGACCGCTCGGACATGAACGACTGGACCCATCTTATGAGAAAGCCTGGCCAGCCCTGTTCTCTCATGCGAACCACCAGCCGTCCCATTAGGGCAGCATCAAAGGCCCCTTTCACATCTGATGTGACTACCGTTGCAACGAGGCCTTGGTCAAGGGCCTGCTCAATATCGTGTATGAGTGCAGCTACCAGGTCAGTGGCAGAGCGCTTTGGTAGAGCTCCAAAATGTTGTGGGGCTAGAATTCCAAGTTTGACAACAAACCAGGTAATTCTTTTCGCAATGAGTCGTTCTAGGCCCTTGCCAAGACATGACAGTAGCGATATTGGTCTGTAGGCCCTGGGATTGGAGTAGTCTTTCTTTCCTGGTTTTGGGATCATCACCACCTCAGCTACTTTGAATGGTTTAGGGTGGTGTCCAATCAGTAGGCAGGTCTGGAAAAGGGCTCTGATATGTTCACCAATGACTGGCCAGCAAGCTTTCAGAATCCGTACTGTGAGGGTATCTACTCCCGGGGAGTTGCTCTTGGTTCCTAAAGTGCACCCTTCAGCCTCTTCCAGTCCGACGTGGTATTCAAGGGGGATGTGTGGCTTGGGTTGTATGATCTGAGCGGACCAGGGGTCGATGATATCGTTGTCTGAGGTACTTCGTTCAAGCGTGGCTGAGCGTAATGCATTTGCCTTGCTCTCTTGTGACTCGAATATTTGGTCTCCTATGATGATTGGAGGGGAACGCATTCCTGCTGATAACTTGTGCCAAGAGACGATTCTGTATAGGTCCTTTGGCTCAGTTGCTGAATTGATTAGAGTCTGCCAGTACTCTCTCCTAGCTTTCCGAACCACGCCGCGAAATTCCCGTCGGGCTGAATTCCGTCCTTCTTGGCTTGTAGTCTGTTTGGAAAGGGCCCTGTATGTCTGAACAGCTGCTTTGCAGTCATCATTCCACCAAGCAGTGGGCCTAGATTGACGGGGCCTCTTGCCCACTGTCCTGATACAGCCTTGGATCATGTTGATCAGGCTTTGTGTAAAGGTGTCCACCTGGCCAGGGGATACACCCAGCCGGGGGAGTTCATGAATCCTGGTTTGGACATTATCTGCCAGCTCCTGTAGTTTATCGTCCGGTACTATCCAATGATTGGCCTTGGGTACTCGGTCCAGATCTCCCTGGATTGGAATGACTATTCGTAATGTCTCATGATCTGAGGTGCACTGAAGTGCATCATTGACTGAGGCTTCAGCCATGGGGACATCAGAGAACACCAGATCTAGTACATTTCCGTCATCATGTGTCGGGACATCTGGTTCAGAAATCAGATCCAGTCCGTGGTCTGCCATAGTTTGTGCAAGTATAGTACCACCATGATATCCTGGATTGCTTGAGTCCCAGGATGTGTCGCCAGCATTGAAATCTCCAGCTATAACGCAGCCAAAAGGTGGAGTCCATACTTCCAGAATGTCATCCACTTCCTGTGGGTTGTCACATGGCCGGTAGACACTGGCAAATGTAATGCCTTGTACCTTGACCCAGGTGATGTCTCGTGTAGCATAGGGCCGAAGTTGATCCGCTTGAAGGTATTTTCTCACATAGATGAGAGATCTGGGCCGTGTACTGTCGCTGTCCCAGGAATCCACTGGGGAGTATATATCGTAATTGGGGTGTGTCTTTACTCCCATTCTCCTGCCTGGTGGTATGCCAACCCAGGGCTCTTGCATCAGAATGATGTCTGCTTGTTCTCCTTTATAGTCAGCCAGGTTGATGGCTAACTCTGTAGGGCCTGCACTCTTTTGTCCCCCTGCTGTATTCACAGAATGGATGACTAGATGCCCGTGTCGATGTGTTTCGTTTGATGTACCTAACATTGACTGACAACAATGGTATCGGCATCTCTGGGATGAGTTGTATCTGTTGTGTCGATTTGCATTGTGGTGTCTTTGTTATTATTGCTAGGTGTTGACCCAGCTTGGTTTCTGCCTGCTTCGTTGAAGGCCTTGGATCTGGCTCTTTCTCCGGCTAGCCTTATTTCCTGGATTTGCTCCCATGTGTGCTTATGGATGGTACCTTTCACAACCTTGGGGCGGGCAGGGCATTTGTCGAAGTTGGCAGCATGAGGTCCTTTGCAGTTGACACACTTTGGGATTGGTTTTTCGCACTCTCCCTGGTGTAGTGTGTTGGCGCAGTGTGCACATACTTGCTTTTCGCATCGGTAATTCCTACCATGGTATCTGAAGCAGCTTGCACACTGGTGAACCTTGGGGGTGTGTTGAATATGCCTTGAGGTCATTGAGTGGGCAAAAAGCGTGAATGGTTTCCTTGCTGCACTGGGCAGAGAGATTATCCATGTAGTTTCTGGATCAGAATCAATCGTGTTCTTTGAGAGTATGCACCTCAGAGGTCTGTCGCCTGTTTGGGCTTCAACTTCATCGGCAACAACAGTGTCAGTAATATCGATTGTGAACCCTTCTGCACTGATGACCTTTCTTGGGCATCCATTGACCTTGTAATGATGCCAGACTGTGTGGGTCTCAATCTTTTGTGCCTTGAGAATGTCGGCAATTTCTTCTTGGAAAGCCAGAAGCTTAGCCTGAGTTGGCTTGTCCCTTGGGTGTAAGGTAAAACCAGAAGGACATCGTGTCACTTCTCTAAGCTCCTGAGGGTGGAGCTTAAGTCTTCTGTTCAGTGTAGACTTGATTCCATAAGGCTCTAGGTGGCTATTATCCATGCGGACAAAGACCCGGAGATCATCCTGCTTCTTCTTCAGTTGGTTGGCAGTGATGAGGGCGCCAGGCTGTGTTTTCTTCATGGTAATGTTGACTGTCCATGGATGCTGTCGTTGGCCAGAGGAGACAGCTTGGGCGAAGGTCATGGTGGGCTTCCCTATCCCTATCCCGCCAGGAGTGGTCTTTCTTTTGGGCAGATCTCGGGTTTCCAGCCACTCGTTCAGGCATTTGGAGAAGAAAGCGCTGAACTCCTTGGCATGAGAGTATAGTTCGGTTCCAGCTAAGCCCTCGGACCACTGACGTCACTGACCTACGGGTGTCGAAACTGGAATCGCAGAAGAAACAGGAAAGGGTTTTCTGGTCTGAGTGGCGGAATTTCTCCCGGAGTATCTCGGCAAGGCAAATGGCCATAGTGGACTTCCCAGTCCCTGGGTTCCCATGCAGCCAGAGAACATTTGTCGATGCCACCGCGTGCTCAGGGCCGAGCCAGGAAGCGAGCTCTTCTGTCTGGAGTATCCATTCGCAAGTGCCTTTGGCGCGGTCACCCTTCTTGCGTTGCAGAGATTTCATTTCCTCGAAAGGATCTGTCTCGAAAAGATCGGAGTGACATTTTCCGGCTTGTGGACTTTCGGCCAGAACATCTTTTATATTAGTTAGCTAGGTCGTTTCATCTGAGCCAAAGGATCGACTTATCTTCTAGTTTGGTATCTACTGCGTGTGATTAGTATCAGCAAAAGAGCGAGGGGAGGTAAACAAGGCATTTCTCTGGGGATATACTATGACGTACTATCACGAAAGCTTCTCGTCACGCGAGGTACATCTTTGGTTACGATCGTCTCGAGCCTTTGCCGCACAACGAGATACATGCCACGCATGTTTGAGTCATATTTTACAAGCCCTGGGTGATCAGCGTCCAGGCTGACATTGTCTTCATCAGCTTCCGTTGTTAAGCCTGTGCTTGTAGCGGACTTCTTTGTCACCAGCAGCATCTGCGGACCGGTTTTCGTGATGTGCCCATCAGCCTGCATCTGGATAACTTTGAGCATTTTACCAATAGGGGTAACTGTGTGGATCTTACCTGCACAGTCGGGGTGTACTTCGTCTCGAAAAAGGAGATGACTCGGTACTTTCCTTTGCATTGGTTGGAAAAATCACTAGAAATTCTCGCCAGATAATCGGAGGGCTCGGAGTCGCGATCAACGAGTAGTGCGTGAATTAGCTTCTCGTTAGGTTGGCCATAAACAAGACTCTGTAGCTGCTCATTTCGGAGCCCGAGATTTGGAACACCAAAAAAGAGTAATCCACAGCATGCGCGGGTCAGTTCGAGATTAGCTTGTATGGACGATTTCTTCTGGGCGTATAGTAGTGCCTGGTCGCAATTAGCCGGGCGATTGGGTGTCCCGCAACGACCGGCAACGACCGGCTTACTTCTTTGACAAGGAGCCAGTCCAGGCTATGTCCGATGAAGATAATGGGATGGCGGGTACTCTACCTTGAGATGAGCACTGTACCGTAGATCTAGGCTCGGACGCACATACCTCGCTACTGCTTCGGAATGCCAAGAGTTCATTGAGAAAATATGACCCCATGTCCTCGATCGACTTCCTGGAATCGCTCTTTAACAGCTTCGTGTCATAGCCGTAGATAAGTACTCGCGCATTGGGTATATCCGCGGGCAGGTAATCTCGCAGCCAGATGTCGTTGCTGCTAGGACACTTCCACGACCCGAACGCGTGGCTTACAAGGCCGGGCACTGCAACGATGCTGGTGGCGAGACACAACAAGTTAGCAATTGATACGGCAGTCAAGTGGTGATTGTGGGTAGTCTCACTCGACGTTGACTCGGGTTACGCCCGTGTAAAGCGGTGTGATGCCGTAGAAGTCGGAGTCGTACTTGTACTTCCGCTCTCCGCTGGCCTGTTGTAGGCGGCGCACCAACTCGATCTCTGGGATTGATGTGTGGAAAGTGGCAGTAGCGCAGGCCCAGCGGCTGTCCCTAGGGGCTAGAGCGATGCGGCTGACGCTGCGAACAGTGTCCCGCAAGCCTGGGCCTTGTGTAATTATCGCCCTTAGTTCGCTGTCTAGGGCTGCATCGGATGTGTCAATCGGGATTTTATCGATGCATAGGGTCAGATATCGGAGAGGTCTTTCTGTAAGCAACATCTCCTTGAAAGACAACGTGTAGCGATAAAGGGCCGAAGTTAGGAGGATGGCGATAGCGGCCACTGCGAGCGGCCAGGCGCGCCCAGCCAGAACATCTAGTCGGTCAAGGACGCCAACCATGATGGCAATCTGTGCAGAACAACGTGTGGGGCGGGCGGTGACCGAAGCTGCCTCGGTCGGTAGGTTCGATGGTATAAAAACGCAACAAGCGATAGTGGAGAGAGAGAGATTTGCCGATGCTAAAGACAGAAAGGCTACGACAGGAAAGCCAGGAGGGGTAAGGGGTAGGTAGGCAAGCATAGGCAAGCATAGGTAAGTATATGCGCGCTCAGCCTTAGGGGCTGCGTCTTAATACGTCTATATAAGCGGCTGAGCAGGGCCAATATGTGACCTACTATTCCAGCATAGCCCCCGAGGCTTTCTCGCCCTTCGCACCGGCCTGCATAGTTATCGGATGGCAACTATTAGAGTATCAGTACGAGGTAAGCCAAGCCGTTTATCAACTCAAGAGGCAGATCCTAGAACCGGCTATGCATTATACATGCGCACCTGTTTCAACTAGTGTGAGATCGCAGATATCACGGTTCAGTGGTATATATTGTCGTCGCGCAAGAAAGATCGAAATATAATGAGGACGCGTGAACAGAGGACAGCGCCAAGGTATGTTCGGCGCAGGTACCCCCAATCGCTTTCACCGGGTTACCTTGAGTACCCTGACTCTTCCCCTTCTAGGCGCGTATCGAGAACAGTACAAGTCTGGCCCAGTCATATCATCTCGGACTAAGGGGATCTGGACCCTTCAGAGACTGAGAGGGTCGCGGCAAAGAGTTGTTCGATCTGCAGAAGCTTGGTGTCGATCGATCAAGGCAGAGTATGTTGCTGTGAGATCGGTGAGGGGTAAGGGCAAGGCAGAGAGGGCAAGGCAGAGAGGTAAGGCAGACAGGCGAAGACACATCGAGGTAGCACCGCGGGTAAAAAAAGGAAACACTCCCAACCTTGTAAGCAGTCCCATCTTTATAAATCCTAAGCCTGTTTGAAACAGTGGCCTTGCGGTCTCGGTATAGTAAGTATTCAAAGACGAGGGTCACCCCAGAGTATATAAGCAAAGAGTTTCAAGCCTGAACCCGACCCGGCCTTACCCACCACCCCCAGGGTCTAGGTACTCCATTCTGCAGCAATAATGTGCCTACCACCCGCTGCCGGGCCGCCCTTTGCATTAGAGCACCAGCTGAACTGGGACTGGACAACAACGGGCCTCTCACCCAATGTTTGCCGGCTACCCTTATATCCTGTTCGAGGATCGACGCAAGCTGTGGGAGTTCCTCGACCAGGAATTTTGCTCGAAGGACCTAAACCAGATGGCGAACAGGCTGTGGTGGATGTCAAAACAAGACAGCGCCAACATCTCCCCGCTCCACCGGCAACTGGTTAAACAGCGCGCCGTCATCGTCACCGAGGATCCCAAGCTGCATCTAATCTGGATCCACAACCGAATCTTCATCAAGCCGCTGCCCCGGTACATCGTCTCGTATGCATTCTGGCAGGACTACATGGGTGGCGATGGGAAAGATGCCCACGATATCCGCAGGACAGCCTTGGGCCATCTCCGTACATGGCTGTACCTGGTGAGGTACGAGTCCGACTTTCGCATCGCCCAAGACCCCAGCCTGCACCTCATCCCGCCCGACATCACATGGGACCAGTCTGCCGTTTCGCATCCGACCTGACTACGATTGTCAACCACGACGTCCCTACACGCTATACCTATGGCGAGATTCGATTGACTAGGCTTAATTTCTACGCTCCATTCCAGCTGCTCGAGTTGATTGTCGAGACCTCCCAAGCAACCTGCGCTAAGTGGCTCGTCTCAAGCCGCAACTGGCCGCAGATTGAAGAAGAGCTGTCCAACGTGGCGCACAGGCTATCCCTCGAAGTCAATGCGAAGTCGGTCGCAGCGGCTGTGGACAGCTACATCTTGCACAAGGTGTCCCAACTTGTACAACGGAAGAGCTATCGAGACAACACCGCCGACGAAGTACGCCAGTACTTGTCGTCAAACGCTGACGGCACTTTTCTCTGGGTCGCCTTAGGAACTTGCGAAGACACGCCGAGGGAATGCTTTACAGAAAGTCAAGTCTTTCCCGTCGGGTCTCGATTCCCTCTATCGACAGATGATACAACAAGTTTGCGCATCGGAAGACGCCGAGCTTTGTACGTAGGTGCTTGCTCTCGTGGCAACGACCTATCGCCCACTCGACAGTCACATCTTCTAGCCACTTGCGCGATGTCATTAGAAGTTCAGCCGCTCTCTGAGCATATACAATGCCAATCGGCGGTCTTCCGGAGTTGCTGAGATGGTCTCGATGAAGGAGGTCATAATCCTTTGAGACTTCGCGGTGAAGGGTTGGAAAGGTCGTCCGAATAGCAGCCAGGAAATTGGCAATGCGAATATTCGGAGGATATGTGATATTCTGCCGCTGGACTTTATCCATTAGTCTGCGGTAGTTGCCTACGAACTTGTCTCCGTGATCAGGAAATCGAATGGCGGCCAGTTCATCTACAACGGATGAGACTGCGTCGATTCTCGTGCCTGAATATGCCTGTCGCAAGGCTATCCAGATCTGATCAGGGTCAAATAAACCGGTGATACGAGCATCAGGGTTAGACTTGATGTTCTGGGTGATAGCGAGGTAGGATAGAACTTGCGACACGACTTCCTTGCGTCCACTCACAGTTGGACAAGGCAGTCGACGACCATATCCTGTCTGTGTCATGGCCCTACTCGCCGGTCGCTGCACACCGATAGGTGACGATTCCGTTTAAAGAAATCTTGGGGCTGAAATGGGGCAGACAGACAATGGCCGAACCAATCAGCGCTGCCGCCACAGCCACAGCCAGGGCTTTGCTTTTGCTCTTTCTTACTGTGGAAAAAAGGACTCAGCTGGAACAACTCTCTTTTTGCATCTGCACCCTGCATCTGAAATGGTAACTCTATTTAACCATGTCTCCGGAAACATGCCTAGCAACGCAGGTAGCAACCGAAAGGCCGACGGCACCCCCAAGTCGAGGGCCACCAAGAGAAACACAAAGGCAGACCTCTGCGAAGACATGCACGGAGGTGATGCCCCCGATGGACGGTGACACCGTGATAGCTGACCGATTGACTGGGAACATACAGACAAAGGCGCCCAATTCCACTCTGTCGCGACGCGCCATTTCGCGTATCTCTGAAGCACCGGGTCTCTCCGATAACGGCCGACCATCTCTAGGCAAGATTAGTATGCTCGGCAGCTGTGCTATTCGCTGCGATAGTCAACGGCTAACACCATGTGCAGAGCCTCGAAGCCAAGCGCCCTTGGTCAACGTCGTTCGAGAGACTCGCGATGATGCACCTTCCAACCTTGTACCGGTAGCGGACATGGGCAGATCAGGTATGTCGGTGTTGTCGCGCAAACATTACCTCTATTCGAGATCATCTCGCTAATGCGTGTTTACTGTACAGATCTCCTTAGAAACAACAAAGTCGACGACGTGACTGCTCATAATGCCACTGCTCGACCCAATGCCCCCTCGGTCGATGAGTCTCTTGCGAAAAATACACGCAAGGGCAAAGGAAAAGTACCGCAGGGAGCCGAAGAAGATGACCGTGAAGAACACGAGATTGCTAGCCTCATTAAACACCGCATGGCTGCCGATGGAAATGGTGCTGTCGAACTATTAGTTGGTTGGGCCGGCGAAAAGGCCGAGGATGCCACGTGGGAGCTTGAGGGCGAGGTCCAGAGGAACGCAGAAGAGTCGCTGTATACGTACTGGAAAACACAGCAAGGCCGACAAAATGCGCTTTTCATCAAACCGAAGAACCCTCCTCCTGAGAGATATCACGTATTCAAGATCCTCAACCACCGGGAGAAATCAAGAGGAGGTTTTCAATTCGAGGTACAGTGGGTTGGTCATCCTGCCACGCGTGGTGAAACGTCAATGGAGGCAGAGACAAAGCTCAAGAACGTAGCGCCGGAGCTACTGGACGGATACTGGGAGAGTGTCGGCGGTCGTGCCAGCCGCATGGTGAGGCGTGGCCGTACCAAAAAGGCTAGAACCAAGTAGCCGCCCTTTCCGTTCCGTACACCAACTGCTTGTATCATGCGCGCTTCACACGCACATCGTCCCAACAGGGAAGCTAGCGTGATTATGAAGTTAGAACATGGGTTTTGCAGACTATAGCCGTCATTAAGAGAGATCCAACCTTGTGGCATCTAGCTGTCGCGACATACAATCTAAGATGCGCTATCGTAGTGAAAATACTGTACAAAGACCCAAAGTGCAGTGGTACTGTGCAAGTAAATCGTATTTTCTAGTATTGCGATTTTAGAACCAATTTCGCTTGTCACATTTACAATATAGGGCTGAAACCAGCGCTCAAATAACGTAACGCGCCCTCTTCTGATTATCCTATTTCCAGCCCTTAGATACCACTGTTATGACACAGAATCTTTCTGGCTCAACAATCAGAAAATAAGCCCGCCATAGCTAGCAGAAGGTCGCCACTGTCACACACTCTCCCACCACCTCCTTATTCTCTTCCTAAGTCGTTAGACTACTTGGAGTTCCTCCGATGGCTGTTATAGGAAGGTGTCAGGGAGCCCTTTTCGTAGCCGCGGGCTTGGTAGTTGTGTACAACGGTTGTTCCCCTTTGTATCGTTTCCCTCGCCGGTGGTGCATGAGAAGGTGGAGGAGCTTCGCTCATCCTTCCCCCCTGAGGGGCAAAAATGACTGGGGTTTCTCTTCGTTGATTTGACATGATATCCTTTTTGTTGGCCAATATACACAGATATGTGATTATAGTATGGCAGTGTAGCTCTGCGAAGCACTTTAAGGGAGTAAGAAGACAGAGTTCGCAAGAGAAAGGCAAGGTACCGAGAGACATAACGTCTCCTTTTAAATCTTCCGCATATAAAGCACGGAGCTGCTGCTACGGTGGTGTGTTGGCCATGCACCTGGAGAATGGTACTTGTTATTACAAACGATAACGAGTCATTTTCATCCATTCCTCAAGTTGCCTTACGTTTTGCCTGGGATAACCGGCGCATGTAAGACAAACCGATGGAGAACGATTGGTAGTAAGACAGGCGCCAACCGCTTTACCGGGGACTGGCTGGTACATTGCAGCCAATATATTGACGCATCATATTGATCATCCATCGTCACGTCTTCATAGCCACAGTAAACCTACATGAGTCACAGAGCTTACAAAGACCTTGGACGTACAGGCTTGGATACCTGCTGAAATGATTGGTTACCACTGATAGTAAAACAGGCCCCAGCAGGAATTGGATCCAGACCAGGACGGAGAATGGGCTTAGCGTCCTAGCCTGGTGTTTCCTTGCTTCTGACATGTATGTAAATGAGTGGTCACGAGTGACTCGTAGATAGTCTCACTTAATCCCATGCATGTGTATCACACCACGTCACTGCCTCCGGCCCAATCCTTCATAGCCGCTCGACAGCATCGAGGACGCGCCATCCCACGAGGCAAATGTGCTTACTTCCGATAGACATTGCTCTCAGGCATTCGCTATGACTCTCTTCGGAGGATTGATCCGCTGAAGGGCCAACAAGCAAGACACGGTCATCACCTCTACTACAGAAGCGTGAGGCTGCTTATTCCCCTCCACTTCACGCCAAGATTACCAAGAGAGTCATTTTTAGCCACGGGTCTTGTTCAGGTAGACTTCCGTAGTAGATGACATGTGTCTATTCTAGATGCCTCTAAGCGCTAATCTTGGCCATGGCTAGGATTCGTTTTCAGAAAACTTCGGAAATGGTTGCCTAGTAAGCTGCCACCTCCCTGAACGCCACGGTGGCTGGTGCGCCATTCAACACAAAGCTACGCTGGGTGCCATGGTAATCCTGCAATACGAAACTATCGGACTTGGCAGAGAAGACGAGTAGCAAGGAGGTGGACAGTGGTTGCTGGATCAAGCTGACTGGGAGTTTTTGCCTCGTGGTTGTTAAAGAATCTCAATTCTTGGCCCTACCTTAACTTGAAGAAAAACAGAGCCGGGTAAATAGACATAAAGTGGTCAAGCGGACGCGTTTGAAGACGCGTTTGCTCTGTGACAGCGCTGACGTCACACAGCCGCAAAAAGCCCTCCCGATGCCTGAACGGAACCTGACAAGAGCCTCACCCGCAGGCAAAAAGCCGTATTTTTAAAGTGAAAGATTATTAAAATGCTATTTTTTTCTGGCGAACTCTTGGGCCTTGCTGGCGAGGGAGGCTCGTGACACTGATAGGGCAGGAATTTATTCATGATCTAGTTTCTGCCCATAGTTTATGTTGGGAGGCACGACAATGGAAGATGGTAAAACTGGTAATGTATTATTATTATACGTTCCAAGGCGGCAGCGCAGAAGGGCTGGATAGCTATGGCTACGTATCCAAGGCTGCCTGGCAGCCGGTGGCACCTGCCAACACATTCCTTTAGAATCGATGTGTTCTCACCATAGACAGGGGCCAAGGTTCAGTTGTCGGACAAACTTCTTGTGGAGTTCAGGCGTCAAAGGCTTGGTCAAGCCGTCAGCGGCCATATCATGTGCAGAAACATGTTTATATACAGCATCTATAAACCCTGGCTGCCTATCCTGCCAAGCAGGCAGACAAAGGTAACAGCAGGTGAAAGCCCTCGGGGTGACTCATAATCCAACACATGTGCCGCCGTGGCAGACCCCAGAAGGCCCCGCAAGGCTTGAAAACCTACTATATAAAGCTGGATAGCCATCCTCAGATTTCGAGTACGTCTTGTGCCTTGCGTCTTTTATAAAATCCCACCAAGAACTCAGGACAGCACTCCGACATACCGGGCAATAACCTCCAATCCCTCTCTACAGCAGCTGCCCTTGCTGGCGATTCATTCTCTGATCGGCACAATGAACGAATGTCCATACCCTATCTTGCCACGGTTGATGTTCTGCGTGGATCTCGGGCGAATCTCTCCAAATGAGACAAAACCGCCAGGAAGCGGCTCAATTGACTTATGCCACGGGTATCACTGTCCTAGACATAGTCAACGTCCAGCCTGTCACGAATGGGATCCGGAAATAAACACCAGAAGATCTTCAGTGGGGCAGAGATGCACAGGGCATGTGACCCACCGAGAAGATAGATCATCAATCTATACACGCTCAAAGGGCGAAGTAAAAGAACAACAATAGAAAACACTGAACAACATAGATAATCTAAACTCGCTTACATCTAATAGATCCATGCGATTTCAACCCTTAACCCATCTATACCGAGACCAACATGTATAACTAGATAAGAGATTAGATACTGTTGGATATCATACCAGGCTGAGGCTTTCGGGGCTGAATGCTCTAATGGGCTTAGCTTCAGGGCATTCAGCTGGCGCCATTATCGTATGATTATCAGGTCACCCTGATGGCACACCTGTACATATATATGGGGGCTTCTCCCCCAGAGATCTTCTTCTCTTTCCTTTCAAGATAGAACACTTTGAAATCTCACAGATACCGGATTATGAGGTCACTTAGCCAGACCTTCGAGTCTACCTAGATTTCCTGATCCATCCATCTATAACATCATGAGCTTAACCCCACACTCGAGTATTATGATTGATTGATCAAGCCTCTTCCAGCAATTTAAGTATTTTAGATCATAATACTCGAGTATAGGTCAAAGTTATGATGTTGCTGATGGGTTGATTGGGAGGTCTAGCTAGACCTGAAGGTCTGGCTAAGTGACCTCACAACCTGTTGAATGGGAGCCGGAAACAGACACCGGAAGATCTCCAGTGGAGCAGAGACGCACAGGGCATCTAACCCACCAAGAAGACAGATGATCTGCATCTTCCCAAGCCTCGCCGCCACGTGTTAATTGTCGCATGGTAAGCTCGTGCCCTGCCAAAGGCAAGTGTATCAGAGCACTGCGATGGCAGACTTGGATGGCGATGATGTTGGTGTGGGGGATGCCGTAGACGGTGTTGGAATACGTGGAGGTGTTCTAGACACCTAGCTTAACATAAGGAGACCACCCCCTTGGGCGCTCGGCACCCCCGTTCTGGGCTTATGTATTAGGAGCCGAGGGCTTTACCTTAATCGCGCGGGCTTCTAGCCATCTTCCTATGCACAACGACCTACGAGAATTCGGGTCCGTCAGCAAGCCCCTGTCGAAGAGGAGGACGACAGGCTATAAGGGGCGTCTGTGTTTATCTAGATCTTGTCCTGTGCGAGTGTGCTACTATAGGTTTTAACTGCACTAGCAATATGGTACTCCCGTCCATTGCTAGCGTTTACATTCATTGTTTCTTAGTCTGCTGGTGTGCCCTTTCTAAAACAGACCGACTCACAGACGTTGACTAGGTATGTGTCTTCGTGCTTCCGAATGAAGGGCCCCCCACCGCTCTCGGTAGTGAGCTAGAAGCTCCCAGTGGGCCATCTGGCCAGGTAATTTGCAGATGCACTATAGTCGATAGAATGACTCATTCGCCAACAATTCTCGACAGGGCTTACCTGAGGGCGCGGGGCCGTTTCGCTGTTCTGCAGAATGCGGGGGGCTGGACAGGACCAGACGGAAGAGAACTTGTAAATGGGTATGTCATGGTTTTCGGCCATTGAGGGCCCCATTAGGCTGCCACCGACTGTCTTCCGTTTCTAGGATACGAGGAGTCAAAGTTGACTTGTTATTCAAGATGACGCGGACTATACGCATTGAAAACATCACACATCCCGGCAATCTTCCCACTCCTACTCTTCTAGCTCGGATGACTCATAGGCATACCGTAAGCCAAAGGGCCTGTCAGCCTACTAATGCAGACACCTTGGATCTAACCGTTTCATACAGGGGTTAGGTACCGGCCTTACTGTCATTGATAACCAATCGTTTTCAGGAGCATCTTGTTAAAAGTCGCTGTTGATCAGTCATAGTTAACCATTCCTTTGGGGTGACCGTCAAGTGGATCCCTGGACACAGAAATATCGATGGCAGCGAAGCTGCTGACGTACTAGCAAAAGAAGGTGCTATGCTAGAAACGGAAGCGACGAACCTTCCCACAATCTCTTGGGTAAAAAGAGATCACAAGAGGAAGGGCAAGAGAGAATTCAATCAATGGTGGGAAGGTCAATCAGAACCTAGGTATCAAGAAGTATACTCGCATGCGGTAACTAAAAGGGACCTTATATCTTTTAAAAGGAGCACTTTACATAGACTTCTAGCGGCTAGATCTAGACATGGCGACTTCGCTAGATACCACGAACGTTTCGGGCATACAGACTCGAATGACCACTGCAGCTGCGGTGAAAGGAAAACACCGCAGCATATTTTCTTTTGCGAATTCCACCCCCCTCTGGCAGAGCAGTCCGCGGTTATCAATCTCCAATTCGTAAGCATTATCCTCGATCCGCTAGCAAGGTATTAGATCCGCGACCGGCATAGTCAAGTCGTTCAGCTTATAAAGATACTTGTAATTGACTATGGCGAATAGATAACCAAAGGCACCACCGCGAACTTCTTGGACAGTCCTATTCTTCACCCTCGACTCGATACGTCTTATCCATAACCTTCGCTCCTTGCTCGGCTCAAGTCGAAGAAAGGAAGTTATGGTCGATCAGATCGTTCTGCCCAAGCGAACTATAGTTCTGTGCAAGGACGCGTTGGACACTCGCCGCTCGCTCCTCCCACCCAGCTTCCAGATGTTGAAACCTTGGAAGAGTCAGCCGCGCTCGAAGCATATGTCGGTCATTATCTACCCTTGTTTCATGCAATCCTTCCTGTTGTGGTTATTAGAATCATCAGTCATTAACCCCTGTTTCTGATAATGATTGGTTACCACTTTGTGATTCTCCAGCCTGATTTGGCAATTAGGCAATCATGGGGGCAACGCTGTCAGTCCACCAAGTTGGCTAACCCGCAGCAAAAGGTGCTCTCACACGGCAACCAATTGTGCAGTGTTTGGCATTGTAGACCGAAAGTCGCGTCGCGTTACTCCTCGGCTCACCTCTTGTCTGTCTATCATTTTTATAAACGAGATACATGAGATAACCGAGGCTGGCTATGAATCACTCATGACCACTCATTTACGTACGTGTCAGACACTAGGAGACCCCAAGCTGGGACGCTAAGCTCGTTTTACGTGCTGCTCACAATTCAGTTCCAACCCGTAGTTCAACTTCTGTTCACGATCCAGTCCCTGCTCATGATCATGTTTCATCTTCCTTAACTGTTATCCAACTAATCCCATGATCTCCATTGCCACCTCACGTAGGTATGCAGTACAGCCACCCTCCGAATAAGAAGGCGCCTGCCGGGTTTGAATGGTCAGTCCTTGAGGAAGAGGCTCGACGGAGCATAGCTGAGCGACTCACTAGACGCGGGTAAAATCATACACCGATCATCGAGAAGGAGTAGACCTGCCTAATGCGACTCGTAAGGGACCCTGAAGCCGTTTCGCCATTACTCCGATTTCACCATATCTTTTAGTTCGCCTTCCTGATCTCTCTGAATACCATACCAACAATACCAATTCCATGAGATTGGCAGCGGAAGGCGATTGTACGCAACGACAAACAGACATCACGCACCAATAGTGTCTATACGGGTAGCCGACGTGTTGGTTAGAGAGCGCCTCGACCGGTATACCAATGTTTATATTAGCTTCTTTTTATCCTGATGGCACACCTGTACATACATATGGGGGCTTCTCCCCCAGAGATCTTGTTCTCTTCTCTTCCCTTTGAATATAGAACGCTTTGAAATCTCACACAAGGTACCTTGTATCCTGGTCCGTGACCCATCCGTCATTGTGGCTGGAAAATGTGTTGAGGAGGCACAGCTACGTCTCGTTGACTCCTTCCACCAACTTCCCCAATCGTTTCGCGATCGTTCTCGCGAGTCTGAGCCCGTCTATGTTTCCATTTCGCATATTCAGAAAGCATAACAAGCGTCAAATCATAAGTCGTAAGGAAAGTACAGGTAGCCTGTAAGGTAAGCATTGGTTTGACACCAGGATGTGAGTACTGACCAGGAGTTCATCTGCCATAGTTGAGCAGCGCTGCACTAGTATGGTCAGAGATAAGGCTCCTACTTGGACGAGGTAGTGCACTGCAAGGATGGCTTTCTCTCTTTGGTGATCTTGGACGACTCTTGTCCACTCCCACACAACCCACAGCCAGAACGACGCAAGTGCAACTTGATACAAGGGGCGGCCCCATGCCGGGTACCATGATTCGATTTTTGTCCCAATGCCAAAGCACAGGCAGAAAGTGCCTAAGACACAGATTAGGGGAAGAGGAGAGAAAGGCCTCTGGCCGTGTCTCCAGGTCCCTACTGCTAGTAACGTCTTATGGCTGTCAGTCATATAGAGTATGCACTACAGGGCTCGACTTACTTCACGTATCATGCTCCAGAGAACTGCCGTTCCGAAGAACCAATCTGGCCAATATCCGCTCTTCAGACATGAGAGGATTACAAAGGCAACCGTGAGCGACGTGCTCAGTGCCGCCGTTAAAGCTACAGCAACTGTGTATGGGCGCCTGTACAGGACCCTCACCGGAAATGGCGGCTGGTGAGATACTTGACTTAGGAGCCTGAAGGTGGCAATCAAGCTTAGAATTGTAATCGAGCTCTCAATAGCAAGTGCCGTGTAGATGACCGAGATTTGAAGGATACTAGGACTTTCCATGATGTGTCAACTTATAAAAAACTGGCGCCTTATTTCACAGTATAACAATGACATCAAGGAGGTTAGGGCCCCTTGATACGTACTTATAGCTAAGCACGAGAAAACTATAAACAGTACATCATTAGGAAGAATCGGGGTCGGGTCAATCGGTCTCCGATAAATAGCTAAAGCTTTTGATCACGGATGCAATGCAGTGTCACCGAGCGCTTCGCATGGTTGCCAACAAGATTCAGATAAAGCCAATCAAGCCTGCAACTCAAATTCATGCTGCATTTAGAGCCATACATATAATATATTGCCGATTTCACCAGGGATTGGGATGGCACGCTCATTCGCTGGTGCACACGGACACAGATCTATGCATGCATCACAGCTATCTGTTTAGGCACCCATTCCTCCAAGAGGTTCACGCTATGATAGAATCGGATGCCTGAACCACAGTTCGAAAGCGGATGATCGATGGCTGCCGGCAATAACCATCCAAACCCGGCGGGTGCCTTCTGGTTACCAGGGTGGCTGTACTGCATATCTGGCACTGGATCACGGGGATTAGTTGGACAACAGCCAGGGAGGATGCAACCAAATCGCAACCTGGGGGTATTTCCGTCAACCAGTGGGCTATTGCCTACAACCCATATGGGTTTCCTAAATCTACGATGGACACTGGGGGCCTATTGCGGTAACTTTCATCCGGTCCTTGGTGATCAATCACTTATAAGGGGTAATAGGATGGTCTAGGACATGATGCCGCAGCTTTGTGCTCCAGAACACTATCTCTTTTCCTAGCTGTGCTTGAATTCCCAGATCCCCGATAACGTCCCTAGGATGCTGGAAGACTGTGTTATACGATAACATTAAATCGGTTTTGTAAACATGTAGCTACTAGGTCCTACGCTTAATAACTATAGGTTTTAATTACAAAGCTTGGTTGCTAGGTCGCACCTAAATTTAAGAAATCATAGGATATCAAGCATTATCATGCAGCCTTCAGCTTGTTCCAGGCCGAAAAGGTGCGCTTAAAACGGTTGGCTCACAACCGCTGTAACTAGGACAGGGTCGGTAGCAAGCAGCTATCATCTTTAACATCTGATCCCCTTAATGTTTAGATCTCTGCTCATGATCTAGTTCCCGCTCGCAATGGAGTTCCTACACATGGTCCAGTTCTTCCTCATGATCTAACTCACAAGAGCAGGGTGAATGAATACCCATGCCATGATGGCCAGCCGGTGACTGAGATAATATTGGAACCATAAGTCATGAACCCACCCTGCGTGCCTGATGCACAATCATTCTCGAGACAGATTGGCCCATGGCTCGAAATACCAGTTGATGACGATATTGCAAAGGTATTACAAGAGCGGTCTCTTCCAGAGAGAAGCCATAATCAGGTGGTATTCTTGGAAAGGATTGGTTACCAACGGCAGTAAGGCTTCAGCGAGTCGACAGCCAACCTATGCCATGACCAACCGGTGGCTGGGATAATAGTGAGACCATGAGTCAGGAGCAAACCCAGTGTGGCTGGTACCCTATCATTCTCGAGACGACATAGCCCATGGCTCGAAGTACCTCTGCGATTTGCGGATGCCTTGCTCGGTCTGAGAATCACCGCTATGACTCAGTTTTCAAACCAGACAGGCACGAAAACGTTTCCAGATAACTATGGGGAGACCCTAGTAAAACACGAACGTACCAGATAAGAACCACCTTGAAGCCAGTGATACCCCCATACTCGCGCCAACACGGCCCTGTGTAGTCCACGGTCCCTTAGGCCATCTACCGTCATCGTGGATATCACCTCCCTCCTCAAGGCCTCCGTCTCAAATGAGTCCTCGGTGTCTCCGGACAAACACTGCCGACCTGCATCAGTACCGCCTCCCACGGAGACGGCGGCTACGACTACGGCGTACCTTGGGCCCCCGTTATATGATGCCCCTGGCCCCATCGGAGAAGTATTCGGACCACTGACTACTGGGGCAATAGCGACAGGACCGGGAACCACTGGAAAGCACAGCATGCCGCCTCACTCATTACGATCCCCGGTCAAGAAAAACAGCAAATGGTCCGCCGAGGAGGATGCGATCCTCATCAGACTGCGGGAGGCTGGCACGAAGTGGAAGGACATCTCAGAGGAGCTGACCGGACGCAGCGGCATCAGTTGTCGACTCCGTTATCAGAACTACCTCGTGATGAAAATCGAGTGGGACGAAGAGCGCAAGGACAAGCTGGCGAGGCTGTACGAGAGGTAAGTCTGCTTCAAACCATGATTGAAAAGACGTTGAGCGGACCCTGCCCTCTGCATCAGAAGACAGCGGCAGCTCATAGAGGAGCCCAGATAAAACCTGGTCCCGTTTCAGGGTCGACGATCACAGAAACTAACAAACAGTCAAGATTCAAACACGATATGTGGGCCGAAATCGCGGAGGAGCTGGCGGTATCGTGGCGAGCGGCCGAGGCCATGCACTGGCAACTGGGCTACGAAGAGATGTGGCGCCGAGGACGAGTGGTGCACTTTGCGCCTTCGACCAAAAACTACGAAGTCCAGCCGGGCGGCGTCCGGGAATTGCCGCGCCACGCGCACTCATCCTCCCATGGAAGTCTCCCACGAGACATGGGCTATGGCCGCGGCGCCACGCTGCCCTCAGGACGACCACTCGCCTCGCGAAGAGACAGCCTGCTCGCTTACCACCACCATTGTCACGCCCCGGCAGAGACATTCGCCTACCCGCACCACGGCGAGCCGCTCGCCCCGATTCAGACGTGGCTGCAGCCACAGGGCCCGCCGCCTCCACCTCCTTCCCGCCAGGGCGGTAGCATGGTGCTCCCTGGCGTGGCCGAGATCACCACGGGCGTCAACCCATACAGCACTCCGGTATACTCGGCCAGCGCCCCCAGCGCCAGTCCCGCTCACAGCGCCAGGACCGCGGTCCCGGGTCCGTACATACAGACCCGGCAGCAACGGTAGCATGGTGGCCGCTACACGCAATGTCTTCGCCTTATCTAATCTGTGCCCCCGTGAATGGTGATTGCTTCGGTCGAGCACAGGTATGCGAACGGCTGGCCCGTTTTAGAATGCATCAGCGCCTTTGAGAGACTTGCACAGGTGGCTTTCAAGCTACTAGAACCGTGGATCCGGATTCCATTCCTTTCGGAGCTCTGCCAGTTCATCACTTCCGTCCTTTCTGACAGTCGGTATTCGGGCCAGGAGCTCGAGAAGATCCTCAAAGAAGTTCTAGGCACGCGAAGCATCGTGGAATGTTCACAGGCAAGCGAAATGGGTGCCAAGATCGGGATCCCGGTGGCTACTGTCCAAGATAGCAGAGCTTGCGTCTTCACGAGCTATAATGGAGCAGGAGAGCGACCAGGAAGTTCAGGTGGTATGTTGACCAAGATCAATGAAATGGACTGGAATCAATATACTGATTAACATAGATTATCAGATTATACCTCCTAGTTGTGGCCTCCGGCACATCCCTCTGTGGGAGATGTAAGTGGTTCAAAGACGTCCCTATGTACACATTGCGGTGCTAACGTTGGGACGAACCCAGAGTCATGTGTGCTACGGCTGCGCCCTAGTAAGTTGTGTGGCCAGTCTACATTGCAAAGTTAACCAATCTCCAGCTACTTCCCTCCCAGACATATTGATAACCTAGGAACTTTCCAAGACGGCGGCGTTGTGTTCAACAACCCGGCTTCAATTGTCGTACGTGAAGTCTCCCAAGTGTTTCTCACGATTGCTGAACCGAGTCTTGTCGTATCATTTGGGACAGGCCAAGCAAAGCAAGATGGCTTGTTTGTAGCACGGCCAGACGGCTCTTGGCGCAACTCATTTCTTGTAAGGGCATTGAGAGCTATGCTGCAATCATGGAGCTCCAAGAGGGCGTGAGAGCAATTAATAAGTCATCACAAGGTAGGCAGTAACACCGAATTTTTCCGCTTTGATCTTGAGTTCGAAGGTCCCGGACCATCGCTAGATAACCTATCACGAATGCAAGAGGTAGCGGAGCTAGCTCGATCAACCATGGTCCGGTCGCCGGAACTAAAGAAGGCCGCTCGCTGCATAAGGGCCCAACTGTTTATATACGAGCTGCATCCTCTCCACCCGTTCCGAATGCGGCACGGCGTTTTTGAATGTACTGGTTACATATCATGCCGCCTAAGGACCAACAGTCCGGAATATATGGCGTTACGGTCGCTATTGCACGAAGCAAGCGCTTTCTTTGTCGTAGAGAACCGAACTTTTGCCGTAGACCTGGAGACCAGACCCGGCTCTGTAGTAGATAGAGACACCGGCCAACAAGTCTGTTTCGCAGTAGACAGTCGGCTAAGTCCCATCAAGATCGGACTACGAGAGGGAGCGGAGGATGCTTGTAACATCAGCGGGTCCCCGTTTACGTTGCAGTGGCTCCTGCATGCGCAAGGCCTCGACACATGGTTCGGAGCTCCGAATCACAGAAAGAGACCGGCCGACGGCGAAGCTGGTGAAGATAAGGGCACCAAACGCAGAAGACGTAGCTTCCTGGATGCGTGTGTTTAGTGAGAGAATATGAACATGCTAGTAGGCGGAGACTGGGGAACCTGCAACCGAAAGGATGGTGATGCCACCCATACCACCATGTACCTGACCACGACTGTTTCCAAAGGGAGGACCGCTAGGACCAAACACACTACAAACATATTTAGGTTAGTCAAAGAGCCGATGGAGCTAAGGACAGGTAAATCGCATACATGGCTCCATTTTGGTCAGGTCGGAACCTGGGCTGGTTGTAGATGGTGGGAGACAGACCAACACGCGGGGTACCATAGGCGCGAACTTTATATCCCTTGGTTTTGAACTGTCGACAACCCGAAGTAGCACACTTAAGCTCTTTCTGCGCTTGAGTATCAGCATAGCGGATCTGCATAGGCAGACCCTCACAGCCGAGTTTGACTCCATTGAATCTTTCGATGATCTCGTTGCACAACTCACGAGACTCGAAGCTAGGAACATTGTCAGGATTACCAGGCTTGTTGACGGTATATGGGAATTGAACTTACCGGGCGAATCCAACACAGCGGCTGTTACCAATCGAGTCACAGAGAATCTTACTAGACAAGATCGTGTAGCCTAGGAATACCGCACCAAGTTCCTGTAATTGTCAGTAGGCTTATGTTTAGATGGATAGTGATATAAACTCACGGCTTCGATCAATGACTTAGGGAGATTAGAGATGTAGAGGTTGGTAGAATAGTCATTTCCTTCAGCCTTCAGTCTAGAGTTAAAAGACTCCTGAGCCATGCTAGCATGTGAAACAGTGCAATGATGAGTGCAGCAACAGTCTCCAGTAGTGCGCACTCGTGCAAAGTCAAATTTATAACAATCACCCGTGGCAGTATCAATGATAGCCTTGGAAGTCTCGACGTTGCCAAAGCGCGGGGCATACTTCAAAAAAAACTTGTCATCGGGAATCGGGTAAGGACCACAAAAGTAGAGATTGCGATTGCCAGGGATGTGGTTGACCAGCCTCTGGTCCAGGGTCTTCTTCATGCTCTCCTGTGGAGTGAAGATGGCAGGGACAGCACCCGGGATGGCGCGCTCCCGTCGAAGCAGTGCATGATGGCCACGACCAAACGGCATCGAGATGTCGTAGAAACCCTTAGGCTGCTGAACAGCACCGCCAGAAATGATTTGCTGGGCCGAAGGAGCCATGTAGCTTGAGCGATCGAAGACAGAGACGCGTGCAGCCGGATCCCGAGTAGGACCGAAGAAGGGCATGGCAGGTGTGGGCTCGTTGGTCGGGTACAAGAATCGATGATTTTCCAAAGCCGGAACATCCTTAGCGCTATTATCAGAGCGTCCAGCCATTGTATCGGCATGACCATGAGTTTGGAAGAAGAGCGGGTAGGGCATGTAGGTAGAGTAGTTTCCATGGGCAAGGTAGGGAGCTGTAACAGCGGTGTTGGGATCGTGAGTTGGTCCTAAGACGAAGCCGGGGGCTCTAGAAGGAGCGCAACCGCTAGCGTCGACAACTTGACCATCCGGCATGGTCATGTGAGGATTGGCCATTCTGAAAATAGCACCATGGTGGCCAATGGCATCACCGCGGGTCGACATCTGCACAGCCTGGTAGTGGGCAGGAATAGTTTCAGCCGCGTGGGAGGACGTCAACAAGAAGCAAACCGTACATCAGGCAATGTATTGTCCAGGGAACGGTACTAACTAGTACCAGAGGCAGTAGTCGTGGGAAATGCATACAAGATCAAAAGATCGAGAGATGGAGGTGGTGGGGTACTTGGTAAGCTGACTATGATCAAGTTTGATCCCGAACAGAACAAGACCTGTGAAAAGAGGTGGTTAGCTTCTGAGGGAGACGACGGGTATGGAAGTAAAAATGACCTGCTGATTTAAAAGGTAGTCAAGATAATATGTAGTTTTTGCAGCTATGTCAGCTGAAAGAATCATTCTTTTAAGCCTCTACATAGAATCCGACGATTCGGATGACTCACAAACAGACCACAGGCCAAGGTAGGCTTTGGGCCTATAGATGCGGGTACCCATGATCTCACGGCTTCTATAGGCCTCCAAGAGGGGGGAGGGGGTTAGTGCCTGTCTTGCTACTATTGTTAACGATTCAACCTTAGGGGCCATCGCCTTGTCTTACATGCTCTGGTTCTTACGGGCGAACCGTAAGGCAACTCAAGTGATGACTGAGAATGATTGGCCATCAATGTTACGGGGCGTTTCCCATGCATGTGTGCGCCACGTCACTGCCTCTTGACCTATCCTTTATAGCCCCTCGAGAGCATCGAAGACATGCCATCGGACGAGGCATCTATGGCCGGTTTGGAAACCTGCGAGGGCGCTTTCAGGATGACTCATGGACATTCAAGAAGCCCGCAGAGACTGTTGACCTATGGATACAGACATCTTTTGGATCCCCCGGTTTCGTACAGGGGGTCGCTGTCGGCCTTACAGACATTGGTAACCAATCATTCTAACGAATATCTGCGACAAGTGATTCGGCAGCCGTTAAAAATCAGGGGTCAGGGCCCACTATATCTTACCGGCGCTTCTTGCGATGACCTCTGTGTTTGGGGCAAGCATACAAGACAACAAGTCCTTTCAAGAACGAAATGCAGGCTCAGGCCGTAAGTCGATCATCTTCCCGGGGGGGAGGGGGGGCCTATCTTGACCAATGGTGCCTGAGGTCCAGTTTATTCTCGTGATCATTTCCTACTCATGGAACCAGTCTGTTTCATAAAGCTTCTTTAGAACATCTGAAGCTGGTTCCAAGGAAGACATATTTGAGATTCACGGCAGTTCCGGCTCATGATCCCGTTACCGCCCGCCGTCCACTTCCTCTCCACGGTCAAATTTCTGCACACGACCCAGTTTCGGCTCTTGATCCAGTTGCTCATGAGTTGACACAGCCGCCCTTGCCTAAGGGAATTTACACCCGACGCTAGCCGCATGAACAACTCAGTGACGGGGCATGCAGCATGGCCACATCCACAGGGAGTAATTCTCTCCTGAGTTGGGATTTCAAACGCTGGTTTTGGCAGCCAAATGACATAGAGACGGGTTCTTTTCCAATGCGTAGTAGCTCCGTAAATACCTTCTTGCCTTGCTTGTTCTTCAAGTGTCTGCTGCGGAATCAGCAATTATAGACCATTATAGCGGTCAAGTGAGTGGGACGCTGCAGATGGATGAGTGTGAGGACTTAACTCGGATAAGGGACCCTCCAGTAAAAGTCACGGCTTCCAAAGTACCCTCCCTCCATTATGCTGCCCTATATGCAGGTCTCATGCTGACGGTGCTTCGATCTTGATTAGCAGCATTACCTGGCGACTCTGAAAGCAATAAGAGTCTTGCGAGCCCGGTACGCTTGGTGTGCCTTTACGATATCGTCTGTATAATTTCACTTTTCACGGTTGAATACCTATGAACCACTTGGCAAGATGATGACCCCAACTCGCAAATACTTCGATACGGAGGGCCCTGCCCCGGACAACAAAACCAACATCAGAGGCGGCGAAACAGGCTGCGGTCTCTGTGGCTGCCTTCGGGTTTGGTGGGGTAGAATTTTTAAATGATTATTTCTCTCAAAAACAGGTATGCATAGCTCATTTACACCTTATTGTCGCAGTTTCCGACACAATAAGAATTCGGCCCGAGGCCATCGCTTACGTCTACGAGCTCAACGTGCCAAGCAATATTCGGAAGCGTTTTTTCGTGGACCTGTTACGGAGAGCTGGCGACGAGGAAGGACCACTGCCATCACAAAAAGTGGACGATACCCAACCACCACCGCTGCTTGACGGGCCAGACCCGCTGTGGTCTGTAGAGAGAGTGCTTCGTGCTGGAAAATTCGGAAATCAGAAAAAAGTATTGGTGAAGTGGACCGAATATATCGAGCCTACATGGGAACCAAGGGAGAATTTGGTGCTTACCGACGCGTTTAAGGCCTTCGTACACAAATACGGAGAAGGCAACGATGTTGGCGAGAATTTAGGAGCTTATACAGGCGCTACAGGAAAGAAGAAAAAGAAGAGCGTTTCTTTTTCTCTCGCTGCCGACGGCATTCCGCCTCAGGAAGAGTGGGAGTGATGTTATGGTACAAGTACATTGTACCTCCACATGTACCTATATATATAGGAGGCCCACCTCTCACCTGAAGCGGCCTGCCTTCTTCCTTCTTCCTTCTTCATAGATCGTTGAATCTAGCTTTATCTATCCATCAGTCCTGATCAGTTGTACTGCAGGCCTGATCGTCACACCTGAGACCTGCAGCAGTGTGGAAGTCCAGACGGCACCACCGGCAACAATGACCTCTCGGCTAGCCGTGATGGTGCTGGCGCTCGCGGTCAGTGTGAGGGTGATGATGATGGAACCCTTGAGAATAGAGAGTCTGTCAAAAGAAAATGCCAGATCCAAAAGAGGAGCAGTCTTGTGGCTTTGAGTTGAGAACTGCTACGTCGCCCTTCGTAGTTTTCAACCTCAGCCAGTAATGATGAATTCCTTGTCTGAATGATTTGCGAGAGTTTATGCATCACACCCCACCATCCTCCATGTTTGTATCCATCTTGCTGACATCAATCTCGCTTTGCTACGTACACCTGCACCCTGGAAGGAACTGGATCATAAGCTGAAATCGAACAAGAACTTCTAGAAAATTGTGAGCTTGTTTATCCCCCTGTAATTCAGGCAAAGATTACCGAGAGAGCCATTTTTGGCCACGGGTCTTGCTCAGGTCGAGTTCTGGAGTAGATGTCACCTGCGGTTCTGGATGCCTGAGAGCTGATTTTGGCCATGCCTGGGATTCGTCTTCAGAAAGCTTCATAAATGGCTGTCTAGTATGCTTCCAACCGATATCGACGTCGCCAGAGGGATGTGGACATTGATCCACCCTTATAATCACATGACCACGCAAAAAATGAAAAAGAAAGCCCCCGGACTTGTTCAATTGGGCTGGCTAGTACTCATATGTCCGGCAATGGGGGAAGTGACGGATGGATTTAAAACGTTAGGCGCGCCCAGTTTTAGAAGGCATGCGTAAGTTTTACTATATGTTACAGTTGGTTGTTACGAACCAACGAAACGTACAGGAGACAAGGCCCGGTGGCAGGCCCAACAAGAGAGACAGGAACGGAAGAAGCCAGGAGGACACACGGACCACAACCGAGAACACAGATCACGTGATCTAGGCATCACCTGACGGATATGTTGGACCGTACATATCCAACATATCCACCTCATCATTGACGGAGAGATTGGATATATAAGGATGGACATTTCCTAGCCAGACAGATAGACAGTCTCTACCTCAGTGATCAATCTAAGCATCTTAGCCAACCCTAAGGTGGGAGAAATCTCTTGACGACTCGACTATTCAGTGAACCCCGGTTCAGGCCAAGACCCAACATCTGAGTGTATTCGTCTGTTTGCCTCGTAATGTGCATCTTGCACTTCTTGAGACCGGCCTAGCAACGGCAGCGGAGCTCTTTTCGGCGGTCTTGAGATAATGCCATTCAAAAAAGACGCCGATCTTCGCCTATACGCTTGTTGGAAACTAGGGCCGGTACGATGAAGACGATATGAGTGGGTTGATGTGCTTACTCATAGCTTAGGTGTTCGGTCATTCTAACAATTATCTTCTGAGCCTCCATGCGTTAGACGTGTCAGTCGTTGTTACTGCCACGATAATGGCCCTGGGCGGCCTTAAAAATAAATCGCAAGGGGTGGCATGATGTATACCACACACTTTTATAAGCAGACCTGACGAACCTGGCGTCGATGGTATCTTGCCCCACAGCAATTACATGGGGAATTTGGCGGCGCCCACGAGAACACCTATCACTTATAAGCATCAACTGCATATGGAATAATCCTGAATATCTCTATGTTATGGGTCACTCCTTATCCTTCCACAAGGATCTGACACGACAAGCAGGCAGAGACCATCTGCAAGTAATCATCAAGGGGTTACATCCTCCTTGTTACCATAACCGTACGATTCATCATGGCATCGGTTTCTTGCAAGTTACCACATCACGGAAATTCCTAGAATCTTTCAGATTTCAGTCGTCTGCACGGCACTAGCTATTGAGAGCTCGATCACTGTTTTAAGCTTGATAACCACCTTTAGGCTACTCAGACATATATCCCAACAGTCCCCTTTGCCGGTGAGAAATCTGCATAGGCGCCCGTGCGCAATTTTTGTTGCTTCAACCGCAACATTAAGCACGACACTTATGGTTTCGTTTGCAAGCCTATCGTGCCTGAAGAGCGGATATTGGTCAGTTTAGTTTTTCGGGACCGCAATTCACTGCAGCATTATACGTGAAGTAAGTAGAACCCTCGACTCTCAGTCATGCTCTAGAGGGGACTGACACCAGAAGACGCTACTGGCAGTAGGGAACTGGAGACACGGCCAGAGACCGTTCTCCCCTCTTCCCCTACTTTGACTTTTAGGCATTACATGCTCGTCCTTTAGCATTGGGACAGGAGTCGAACCATGGCATCCGTCCGTATGGCATGTTCCGGGATATATGGTGGCTTAAAAGCGCGACGAGGCTGGCTCGCCACTCGGCACCGGGAGAGCATGACTTTTGGCCTGTACATACGGTCATCTGGGCTCCGCGACAATTAGATATCCCTGGAGGCAGATGGCTATTGTGATATTTGATGGCCAATAATTCCCAGTCGCCTCTGGAGTTGCCTTACGGTTTACCTGTAGTAGCCAGAGCATATAACAGAATGATTGGTTGACAATGGCAGTCAGACAGGCACCAAAACCCACCGGAGGACATGTACGTAAATGAGTGGTCACGGATAGCTCATAGCCAGCCTCACTTAATTCCATGCATGTGTATCACACCACATCACTATCTCTGGCAAAATTCTTCATAGCCTCTCGACAATGCCTCCCATGATTGAATGATTGATTGATTTTGTTCATCGTGGGTGCAGTCCCTCAACAGGGCAAACCACGCCTCCCAGAGCCATTGCATCGCAAGGTTGTAGCTCATTCAACCAAAACGGACGTGGACCTAACAGGAGGAGAGCAACAAAGAGGAAGCTCACTGACGATCAAGAGCCTTCCGAAAGACAAAACCCGAAGAGGGTGAGGTTTGTTGGTCATCAAGAACCGTGGTCAGCCAGCACGAGGGCTCGATCAAAAGCCAGAACAGCGCTGCAGTCAGCCCCAGTACGGCAATGGATCGAGGAGCAACTAAAGGTTGCCGGCTGTACTTACCAAGCTGACGCCCAGGCAATGTTGCAGCCAGCTTGATTGTAGCTGGGTCATAGGGAAATTCTCCCAACTTTGTACAGAGTCTGGTCGGAGGGCGTGTTTGGGCTGCTTGATGGGCTGTTTGATCAGCATTGCTGAGAGGCAAGGTCGATGTTCAAGCCGGGAGAGGTTGGGATCGGTGTTGGGGCATAGCAGTTTGGTGTTGGGGGGCTTACATGCTCGATGACCGCGGAGCTGGCATATGCGCGACTCTCTGCTCTGTTTGGTTGTTCAAGGGGCCGCGGAACTGCGTAATGTGTGTGAATGGAGACTGTCCCGTGATGCTCGAAATATGGCTCTAGACAGCGGCTGATGCATTCATCGGCCTTCACAGCCATCCCCAGAACGTTGGGAACCACGCAGCCAGTCAATGGCGCTCGATACCAAGCGGTCCCGGGCCTGAAGGGAGCTGCGAAGAAGGCGATGCGGACTAGAGTATTGTCTGTCGGATCTCCATTAGGCTTTCCCGGTGCTATGAGCGGTGGTTCGAGCTTCATGTGAAGCGGGAGTAGACAGCGCAAGAGTGCTGATATAGTGCTCGCGCTTCCGCCTGCGTTCTGCATCCGTAAGAGCGTCCATATACCCTGGCTGCTCAGTCGTCCCATCATGGATACACCAGATGTTGGTATGACTTAAGGGGTGGTGGACGTTCTGATATTCGATTGGTGCACGAGGAAGGAAAGAAATCAGGTCCTAACCTTCCGTGCGACAGGATCCTTCATAAGGGATCCTGGTGGCTGACTAATCCCGACGTACGGCCAACATATTGACGTTCCAACACCAGGCCTCCTTTACCCTTTGTTCCAAGATCCCGTCGTAGACCCCAGTTCTGATATACGTCTCGTCAAGAAGCGACCAATCTGACAGCAGTATGTCTCGGGGCACTGTGGCCAAGTGGATGTTGCATTTCTGGAAGCCAAGGGTTGCTGGAATGATGGCAACAATCGCCCTTTCATCAATGCCGCCATAATAGAGGGACTCTGCTTGGTAGACGTTCAAGTTTTGCAGTCCATAATGAAGTGCGAATGAGGCGGCATTGATTGAGGGAGAATGCATCTCCATGTCGACGACCACGATATAGATGCTCCTGGCGTTCCTGCTGTTCCGGTAATATTCTGCTCGGCGAATGGCTGCATCCCAGTCGACGTGAACAGATACCCAGGGTGAGTAGCACCTCCGCCATGTGAGATGACGAATGAGTGAAGCATCATCTGCCTGGCCATCAGGGTAGCGGGCGAGAAGTCCGGCGTAGTTCGGTTTGGATCCGTCTTCTGCTACGACTCTGAAGCCGATGCCGGTGCGTGTTGGGATGTACTCATGGCGTCGATTCCAACACTCCCGGCTTGGTAAGACAAACGTGTTCATGTTGAAGGCTTAATCTGACTGCGTGAGCCAAGCATGTGTGCTGTCATAAAGTCCAGACTGTGTAGCGACGCCAGACAGGAGATCGGGATGAAGCTCAAGCTCGGGTGATAAATTATAATAACGCCTTGATAAGTGATAACGTCTTGATAACGTTCTGAGCTGGTGCAGGTCATCCCGACACTAGACCTATCGTGGTTAGCTGTATATACAAGTCTTGGCATCTTAATCTTCATGCAACCCCACCAGCCTGCCACCCACCTGCATCATGCATGGAACTAGCGAAAATGACAGGGGCAGCCGGGCTCTGCTATTGGGCCAGATTGAGGCCGGAGCCTAGGAGCCTAGGAGCCCGAAGGTTTCGTCGTCATGGGCGCGGTCCGCGGGTCACTACGTGATAGGTGTGTTTCATCCGATGACCCATCGTGACAGGTGGCAATGAAGGATTGGTTAGGAAGCAGTAACGTGATGCATGGATGAAGTCAATCGCGATCACTCATTTATGCGCTTGCCAAAAGCGTGAAGATGCCAAGCCCAATCTCGTTGGGGCCAGCGGAAGTAGAGGCTTAGGTACCTGATTCTTCCGTTGAGAACTTAATGGCGGCGGGGTTACTCTGCTGACATGTAGGTTCGCCTCATGGCCTAACGTGAGTAGAGCCCATGTCCGGCCGGCGAGCGACCTCCCTATTGGTTCATAGAGAAGCAGTCTGTGTCATTGGTTCAACCTACTCGGTCTCTCCACCTCCTCTTCGTTCTGGTGGTCTGATTCGCTGTCGCTCATGTCCCCAGCACCTCCCTCCTTGCAGTCGTATGGTTGGTTGACACAGTGAGAATCTATCGTGTCACCAGTACTATCATTATCAGAAACAGGGGTTCAGGTGATTCGGCATCCATAAACGATAGTCCTGGGTGGGCTGAGCCTGGCGTGACGACGCAATTGACTCCATCATTTCCCAGCCCCTGACAAGAAGCGAGCCGGTCAATTCGCAGCAGCGACTCTCACGCCTCCCCTGTCGATCTTCCTCCCTGGTACATACGCAACCGAACTTTCAGCGGGGCTGATGGACGTGGGCATTCCGGCAACCTAGGCTACAAGGTATGCTACCAAGGCCCCAACCTCCATCATGGCAGGGTAGCGCATGTACCAAACTGTTGATGGCGTTAGCCAATATCGCTGTCGTGCGCATTGCATATTGGCAAGTGATGCGACTTGGCCTCTTAGGCAGAGCGACTCGGGGGCTAGACACCAGCCTGCCTGGTTATCTCAAGGGAGATGGACATTTGCTCGGCATGAATACTCCACCTGGGGATATGAAAGAAAGAGGTTGGTTACTGGTAGATGGATGGGTGGTTAGGGTACGGCCATGGTGAGATCCGACCGGGACGGGATATCAACAGCACCCCCTGCATGAGCCAGAAAGGCCGTTGACCTATGAATGCAAACATCTTGGATACCACAGTTTCAGTCCTGGAAAGTGATTTACGTTATAACGCAAAAGTAAGGCAAGTTCAAAGGCGGCTGAAGATAGTTGGTCATCACTGATCGGTGGCATCACGGTAATCTAGGCGGGAGCGATGGCCCCAGCTAGAAAATAGCTTGCGTGTCCTATCTGAAAGAAAAATTCCCTTTTACTATCAATTGAACTTGCTTGACAATCCTATATCCTCTCCAAGCTCTCTGCAGCCACTACTGTTAAGGTTCATGATGAATGAAGTGGTAGAGACCAACACTCGCCGTCTATCTTCCTTCGAGCTTCCTCCTGCCTCTTGCAAAGGGCCAAGGCTTCGTGCATTCCGCTTAGCCAGACCTTCAAGTCCAGCTAGACCTCCCAATCCAACCATCAGCAACATCATGACCTTGACCCCATACTCGAGTATTATGATTGATCGTTCAAGCCTGTTCCTACAGCTTGCGATTATCACAGCTCTCGGATATCTGTTCATGAATTCTATCTGGGCAAGATTGACCATACCCATCGTATTGGGGTTGGCTTCATGTGCTTCTTACGCAATTCCCGTCATAGTTGTCCGGAAGTTGGTGTTGAACGCCGGAGACGTTGCAAACTGGATTCACTCCGTCCAGGGCGAAAGCATGGGGTATTTAATTGGCAGCCTATGCTCTGCCATTATTACGACTATCTTATGCTTAATAGTCGTAGTCGCGCTATAAGCGTAATCTATGCCCCTTAGATATGGAGCAAGACCATAGGTATGCTGCGAGACACGCGACTTGTCTTTATTTAAGTCAATACTTGGACCAGATAGGGTAGGACTCAGGTCGTTTTGATCCTCAGTTGGGTTTTTATGTCCTGTTCTTTTCCAATTCCATTCCCTTTCATTACATGAACCCAGGAACGGGGACGCGGATGTCGATGCCGACGGGGGAAGTGGAGGGGGAGTTGAGCCGTATAAAAGTGGACCTAGGTTCGATTCCTATCAGCGCTAGCTGGTGCTTTCGCTTTTGGCTCATCTGGGGGGGGGGGGGGGGCAGTGTTGACGATGACGGCGAGATGGGCGATTAAAGGGAGGATCCGCCGGACGAGAGGGGTCTGACTGGAAGTTGCTTCAGCTTTGCTAAGGCAATTATTAATTTGTGGACGTGGTATCCAAATCCAGCGCATTATCCGGGATAAGTGTCTTCGATAGAGTACACTCAAAGGCTTTAACCCAATCGTATACGTTATTTTTGAGCAGATAAATACATACCTAGTATGACTTTCTAGGTCCTGGATTACTATTTCCAATCCCAACACCTCACTTCCACTGGGCCGCGTACGGAAACTCCAGTACTGAGGCGCAAGATGCTATCTCTTCTCATATGCCTCCCCAGTCTCTGTTTGCGTGTTTACTGTACAGATCTCCTTGGAAACATGCAATATTACCATTAGGATGACTCAGAAACGGACCACCGGCCAGGGTAGGCTTTGGGTCTATGGACGCGGGTACCTATTATCTTATGGCTTCTATAGGCCTCTAAGAGGGGGTTGGTGCCTGTATCTTGCTACCCTTGTGAGACAGCTATCAGCGCTTGGTAGCCGGGTAGTGGCTGCGTTATGCATACAAGGTATTGTATACCTTAGTGACATGATGCGTATCTCTACGATCCAATGGCGAGACCGTCTCTCAGGAGGTCTTTAATGCAACATGTTATGGGTTATCCCAACACTGGGGCTCGGCGGAAGCTGCCAGACAGAGTACACGCACCGAAATGTATGGATTAAGCGCAAAGGTCAGGGAGTTGTCCCGCGAACTCGAAGAACTCCAACAGCAGCAAAAGCTCAATATGTAAGCCGGCTATATGAGAGTTCATCACATCCAGAGCTGGGACCAACTCAATCCACTCCACCATGGCCTTCCGTGACGTTGAATGGATCCAATTACACGAATGAAGCTCGTGATATTGATCAACCAGGGGTCCTCGTGGAATTGTGTGGATTTCGTGGATTATATTGACAAGCTATCCAGCTACTCTCGATCGTGATTTGGGTGCCTGCTGTTGGTTTTGTGCCTCTCGTGTGTTAGCTGATAAGTTATTTAAACGAAGGCATTCATACATACTTATTGCTCATCACCAATAGAATCCATGGTGTTGAGCCATGCTCGTGCCCACCCTGCCAGCTCCTGATCGGTCATCCTCATGACTTTGTGCTCGTCGTCCTCTTCACCAACAGGGTAAAAAAGGGGGTCTAGGTCCCTAATAATACCAGCACGTAACCATGACCGTAGTACCTGTGCTCTTCAAAAGGGTCGGAATCTGCCATTTTGCTCCTGGGAAGGCTTCTCACGCCGCCGGAAGCGGTTGCTGGTTACGAATGCAAAGAATGATGTGGTGAAAGTGGCAGGTGAGGTGCATGTAAAGATTCAGCCCCTAGGATAGGGGCAGGGCAGCCACGTTAAAATGGGACTGTTGAATGGCACGTAGGCTACCGTGGCTAGGGCCCATAGCAGACCATCACAACGCTGTTTGACAGCTACAGGCTCAGTACCATCCTTATTCAACGAAATTCACAAAAGCCAATCCACGACAGCTCGGAATTGAATTGATTATTAATCCAACTCTAGCCCCGTGGAATTCCATTGGGTTGACGTTGATCAACGATATTGCTCAACGGGTGGATTAGGTGGAGTTGGTCCCAGCCCTGGAGTCCAGTCACCCATCTCAGGTCTCGCGGATCCCGAGATCGTCAGCGTCGTCAAGCGCATTACGTCAAGATGCTCATCGAAAACGACCAGGCTGTTGCATGGCAGTACACCACCGCTGCCAAGGTGTTCAGCTGGCTACTTTTAACTGGATATATTGTTGTCCCCTCGACCTTTACATCGGTTAGCCAGTCCGATGTCGTTGTTATCGCTCTCCAAGACGAGAAATCTACCTCAGGAGCTTTTCGGAATCCTCCTTTATTGACTATTGCGTCGCTCCTGTTCATTTTATCAATTGCCGCCTTGACATACATCTGGTGGATGCGGAGACATAGCTACATCTGGGTTCTCAACCGTGACGACGTCACGGCCTCCGGCTTGGAAGAATAGACCAGAGACACCCTCTCGTCGGCAGGCTCCGAGTACAAGCTCGCAAGGAACCGACAAGGCTACAAAGGAGCTACCAGCTAGTTCCCGACTTCCAGAGACCGACACTCACCAAGCCATCGTGGAAGAAGCCCCCAATCCGCAAGGACAAAGACGAAGAAACAGAGCTCTTCAAGTCATGGCTATGGGGGAGAAACGTGAACACTGACCTTGTCATCTACTCGGACGGATCGCAGTTGGACGACCAAGACACAACCCGCACTGGATGGGGTTTTACCATCAGGAAAGGCGACACTACACAAGAGGTGTATCGGGGAAAGGGCAGACTTTTCCAAACAGAAATGGTAGACGCTGAAGTCCATGGCGCTCTCCAAGATCTCGCAGCAGCCAGGGCGATTGGGCGCGAAAAACGGCTGTACGTCTGCCTTGACAACACGTCGGTGGTAGATGGGCTCAATGGGACTCCACCTGAGACATCACAGACCATTTTTCTATGATTCCAAGAACTAGCCACAGCACACACTCCTGGGGTGACCGTCAAGTGGATCCCTGGACACAGAGATATCGATGGCAACGAAGCTGCTGACGTACTAGCAAAAGAGGGTGCCATGCTAGAAACGGAAGCGACGAACCTTCCCACAATCTCTTGGGTAAAAAGAGATCACAAGAGGAAGGGCAAGAGAGAATTCGATCAATGGTGGGAAGGTCAATCAGAACCTAGGTATCGAGAAGTATACTCGCACACGGTAACCAAGAGGAACCTTATATCTTTCGAAAGGAGCACTTTGCACAGACTTCTAGCGGCCAGATCTGGACATGGCGACTTTGCTGGATACCACGAACGTTTCGGGCATACGGACTCGAATGACCACTGCAGCTGCGGTGAAAGGAAAACACCGCAGCATATTTTCTTTTGCGAAAGGCTTAGGAAAAACCGGCTGCTGCCCAGGTACTCGCCTAGGGCAGCTTGTTTACAATACTTGGGGGAGAGGAGCGCGGAATGGGCAAGATTCGTTGAGAAGAGCAAGTTCTTCTCATCAATCTGCCCCCGATAGATAGCTGTTCTTGAAGGACCAGATGGATGACCCTAAAGTCATGCCACTGCAACAGCGGGGATGGGCTCGTGAGCGGGTCTGACTGTACTTATTATCTTGATACCTCCACAACCCTGCGATGCAGAGGCTCTGGGAGGCGTGGTTTGCACTACGGAGGAGCTACCCCCCACGTTAAATACAAAACAAACAAACAACAACACACCCCCTCAGCCAGGCAGGCAACGGCTCTGGCTGAACTAGTCTATAGAGTAAATTACTTCAGGGTCTTGACTCAGAATCTCTTCTCTCTTCTTAATGGCTCCCTCCTGTGACCTCAAATCAAGCTGCCTCGCCCGAGTGTCTACCAATCCCAACTGATCCAGAAATCCTGCCCACCGTTGAGCCGGCAAGGCCTTGGTCAACCCATCCGCTTTCATCTGCGCTGAAGGCGTGTACTCGATGCTGACAGTTCCTCGTTCCACTTCTTGTCGAAGCCAATGGTTGTGTATGTCCACATGCCGCAACTTGGTTTTTAAGAGGGCAATTTCAGCGGTCACTAACTTAATCGTCTGTGTATTGTCGCATTCCACTTTGATCTTCTCGCGTTCGAGTTGAACACCAAGTTCCGTAACCAGCCGGCTGATATACAGAGTCTCTTTGACTGCCTGAGCCAGTGCGAGTAGTTCCGCTTCTGTAGTCGATGTAGTAACCGTGTCTTGTTTGTTGGCCCTCCAGCCGATCAATCCTCCGAAGAGAGTCATGGCGAATGCCTGAGAGCTCTTTCTGTCAGAAGTATTGTCGGCAAAGGAAGCATCACTGGCCACCACTAAATCGTCTCCTCCTCCAAACTGGAGAGAGTAGTGTCTTGTTTTGTATAGGTATCGGATGACTCGGTCGGCGGCATTCTGATGGATCTGACTTGGGTTCGTAAGGAATTTTGCGAGGCATGATGTTGCGAAGGCTATGTCTGGTCGTGTGGAAACGGAGGCAAATAGGATGGAACCAATCTTTCGTTGGTATTTCTGGATCTCGTGAGGGGCGGCGTGATCTTGCCAGGGCAGTAGTTCTTCTGTACCCATTGGGACCTCAGGGAGTCTGTCGGTCAGGTTGATTAGCTTGGTTACTTTCTCAATGTAGGAGGTCTGGGATAGCCAAATCTTTCGCTGGGGCCGGTCCCGAATGATTTCCATTCCAAGGAACCATTGAACGTGCTCGCCTCCAGTGATCTCGTATCTTCGTTGAAGCTGCTGAACCACGTCTTGGACATCTTCTTGTGCGTGTTTTTTATATGCGACGATCACGTCGTCCACGTAGAAGAATATCATGATTCCTTTTCTTGTATAACAGCACGGCTCATGTGGAACTGGGTTGAATCCCAAGCTGGCCAGAGTCTTTGAGAACTCCTTTTGCCATAGCAATGGAGAAACCTTTAGCCCATAGAGTGCCTTATTCAACTAAAGAATTGTACCTTTCTTGCAATAGCCGTGTGGCATTTGCATAAAGATCTTCTCATTGATAGGGGCGTGTATAAAGGCGTTGACAACGCCGTACTGGATCATCTCGAGGTCAAACTTGGCCGCCAGGGCTATCAAGGTTCTGAACGATCTTCCAACAAGAGTAGCTGCATACGTTTGCTCTGAATGCAGCCCCTTCTGTTGATCTCCTCTGACCACGAGACGTGCCTTGCACTTGATGAACCTCCCATACTTATCAAACTTATAGACATACACCCACATGCAGTCCAAGATTTGATGCCCTCGTATAGATGGGTCTTTCTTTCGGATCTTCCAGGTTAGGTTGGGAGACAGCTACCCGTTTCCGCCAAATAAAGACGCCTACAAAGAATGATATGATAGAACATATAGGACCTACTCAACGGTGGCTGGATGCTGAAGTGAGTGCACCATCAGGATGACTGATAGGCAGGCCACACGGCAGAGGGAACTGACCCATGGATACAGACATCCTGGATCCCGTAGTATCTAATTAGTAAAGTATTCCGCGATACAAAGCACAAGGAGACCCAGGGCGATGTCGATGACGACGGCAAGGGCGTGCAGCTCACGGACGGGGGCAACACCACGAGTAGCTGTTTCTTCTACAAGAACTCATGCGAGTGTGTGCCCTATAAGTATATCATCATCGAGGCGGGCGACACCAAGTTCGTCTCGGTGCCGGACAACTTCCAGGGCCACATCATGCGCGGCACGCCCGACAGTAACCTCGACGGCAACGCACCCCAGCTCGGCACCTGGCTCGAGTTCAGCATCGACACCGACGGCAACGGCTGGATCGACATCTCGCTTATACAGCATTGAAGTGTAATTAGCGTGAGTCACGCGGCTAGGCGATGAAAACACTCCCTCAACCGTCCATGATACCCACGATCTTCAGGTTGTAGCCTAGGCGGTGGCGGACGGACCACCCTCTCTAAATCCATAAGTTGGCAGTCTCTGCTGGCTTCTGGAATATTTATGAGTCATCCTCAAGGCGCGCTCCAGGCTTTGGCACTTGTCACGACTTTACCTCTCGAATTTCAGTCGTTTCCTCTTGACGGCCTTCTGCTGATGAATGATACTCATGGGCTGCTTTTATCAACGCGTGAGAGGAGCTCGCTGGCCTCATAGGGGCTGAGCACTACCAGAATGCGTGAGGTGCACTAATCGTTGACGTGTGTTGAGCCAAGGCATTCTCAAGTTGCAGGAATTATTCGTGCCATGGGCCATGTCGTCTGGAGACCGATTGGATACCAGGCATGCTTGGTTGGTCGATGACTCATAGCAACCGGTTAGTCAGGACATGGGTTGTAAGGCAAGTCAAGAGGCGGGTAGGAATGGTTGGCTATGACTAGTCGATACTACCACAATTATCTAATAAAACAGTTCAAGTATTTAGGTCCGAGTAACTTTGTCTGGTATATATAAAGCTGATATAAATAAAGTAGTATTTCAAAGTGATGTCTGGGAATACCCGCTGCCTGCCTTCACCATATCGACGAGTTAGTAAAACATACGCTCGAGTCTGTTGCTCCAATTTACGCCATGTCTCAATATCAATGCACCTATGCTACCGCCCCGGCGCCGAGGCAATACTCGCACGGGACGAGCAGTGCCTTCTCCGGGTCTGCCAAGCCCGACGAGGATTGGACCACGATCTCAGATCCTGCTGAGCGTCGAAGAATACAGAACAGGATTGCTCAGCGCAACTACCGTATGTCGCTACAGCTCTGCTTGCCGCAATTCTAGTCATGAGGCTGACAGTTCCTTATAGGCAAGAGGGTAAAGAGACGACTAGAAGACCTAGAGAGACAGGTGGACTCGTTAAATGAAACACTATCGCCTAAGAACACACCCGAGCATCAGACATCGTCCAGCAGCCGTGGCAACAATAAGACATCCCCCTACAAGGCGCCAAGATCGTCATTAGCGTCCCAGAAGCCCGCGCAGCCGCCGCAATACACACCGCCAATAAACCACTATGTTTCCTTCGACGACCGAAAGCAGCCACACACTCCCCCATTCATTACCTACTCGGCATATCCGCTGCCTGATGATATGCTCGTGCGGTCCTACCACTCGGCCCAGCCCAACCACCAGATTACCCCGGCCGTTTGCGATCCCAAGTACATTGCCGCGGCTAGTATTTGCGCCCTACCGTCCTTAACGCACTTTGGCAATACCATCAAGAAAGGAACATGCCCGTTCGACATGCCCGTTCGACATGCCCGTTCGACATGCCCCGTACGTGTGCTATGGATTCATACCCAGCAGCGTGGAAGACCCCAAGAGATGCCTATCCGGCAGAGCAGGCAGCAGGATCCTGCCTGTGGTCATGAACGTGAATCTGTGAGATTTCAAAGTGTTCTATTGAAGGAGAGGAACCAGGAGTAGTTCCTGAAGGGCAGAAGGCCCTTATATATAAGGAATACAGAAAGATGTATGTGGAAAGGGACAGTGTGTCCTTTTCTAGCAATCCTAGCACGAAGGACAGATATGGGGTTTTGGTAGGATTGGTGACGTTGAGACCTCAGGGTGAACCAGAACCCCTAGATTCCAACAGAATCTAACCTAGCTACAGTCCCTCATTAAAATAAAGAAGGGGCATAGTGGCTTTTCAATTTAAGATTTGATGACAACTCATCAACCGTCTCTAGTTTCCTTCCCGCATCTGCACTTAGTGGAGTCTCCACGAAATGGCGTGAGGTGGGCGTGGATCGAGGCTAAAGTAGACCTAATACTCAGTTGGTGAATTGCAACATTTCATTACAGACGCAGTACATCTCGCGACAATTTCACTAAAATTCCTGTATGTTAAGGAAGCGAAGAGGAGAACAACAACATTGTTTGTTTTGTTTGTTTTGTTTGTTTGTTTTGTATTTAACGTGGGGGGTAGCTCCTCAGTAGTGCAAACCACGCCTCCCAGAGCCATTGCATCGCAAGGTTGTAGAGGTGTCAAATTAGATACATTCAGATCCGCGCACGAGCCTATCCTCGCTGTAGCGGTACCAATCTGGAGTGTTCAGATGGTTTTAGTCAATACCCAAGCACGATTCCGTCAGAAAAACCTCCTATCTAGTGACAAAGCGACCCAGTGAACCTCAGTTCTCTGGTGTACATATCGTTCCAGTAGCCGTTCGATATATGTCGCATTGGTGGGTGGAGTAGGTGTTTGTTATCTGCTGGCGAGGGAAACCACAAGGGGGAAAACCTCGCAGGAGTGGGTATTGTGGAGACAAGCTGCTTGGCTATCGGGCTCTGCGATAAAATGGGGCCTCTCCACTGTCGTGTGCTGGTTATCGACTCGCACAAGCCGGGTCAGAAAGGGGGCCATAGCAGGATTCGAACCCACTTGTTCTCGTCGCCCACCGCACAAACGAGAACACAACCAGGCGCATTTGACCATTGCGCCATACGGCCAGGAGAACAACAACAGAACCCTTTTGTCTCTGGGGCAAGGCCGACCAGATGCCTTGGGCCAAGAAGTCTGCCTGACTTCTTTCCTCATCCCATGAGTCCCTGGACCTGAAGTCGCGGTTGCGCACCACATGCCAGCCAAGGCGGAAGTTCACAACCTGATTTTGCGCCATTTCGAAGTACTTGCGTTCACCTTCGGAACCTGTTGGGACCAGATGGATGACCCTAAAGTCATGCCACCGCAACAGCGGGGATGGGCTCGTGAGCGGATCTGACTGTACTTATCTTCTGATACCTCCACAACCCTGCGATTAAAGCAATACCAATTGTTTTATCTTGTCAAAAAGCTACCAGAACTGCTAAGAGTTTCTGCTATCCAATGAAGCGCTGAACTCCATAAGTGTGACCTCTTTAAAATACCTTCGTTCTCTGTGGTCTGACTCTTTAATATAGAAAGCCATTTATAATAGTTAATAAATTATGTATTCTGCTACCGTAGCTTCGTACTCCTCGCATACCACAGAGGACTGCATCATCACAGCCGCACATAACAAAAGAGTACCATTGCTTATTACAAGAATGGATGACCCAACAGTGAGCTCCCAAGTGCCGAGCCTGAAAAGCAGCCGCGGATGTCTCGTTAGTTTTGCGGAGGGCTTTCCGAATCATCTACCACCCGAAGTCTCGCTGAGAGCGCATACCCTGCAGGGTCGACCACGTTGGCAAACCACCCCAGAAAACCCGTTTCGTCGTCTCGGATGAAATTTATAGCCCTTCGAACTGGTTGGCCAGCGGCTATTACCGGAGACAGTGAGTCCGGACTCAACCTTGTACATGAGCTGCATTGTGATCCGCTTCATATCTTCGATCGCGTCAGTTCTTAAGGTTGCACCTGACCTTGAATCTGCGTATGTGTGGCTCACTTCCTTGGTTGTTTAGTGACATCTAAAAATAGTGCAGTGAGGTAAGGGCGTGACATCGTACTTATCTTGACGTCGCCAGCTAAATTCAGTAGAACCTGGCTCCCGATGATCGTTTCAAATTTGACCTTCTTTCTGCTTCGCAGGGTGGCTGTACTGCATTTCTGAGTGAGGTAGCGGATCATGAGATTAATTGGATAACAGTCAGCTAAGATGAAACCGAATCATGAGCAGGGAATACATCGTGAGTGGGACAGAAATGAGCTTGGCGTATTAGCTTGAGGTTTCCTCGCTCCCGACATGCATGTAAATGAGTGGTCACAAGTGGCTCATAACCAGCCTCACTTTATCCCATGCATGTGTATTACACCACGTTACTGCTTCTTAACTAATCATTCATAGACGCTCGGTAGCATCGAAATTGCGCCATCGGACGAGGCACCGCTAGTTAATATACAGTCTGAAAGGGGAGTTGGTCGATTGTCCTTTGTCCTCATCAAATACCTATTATATAAAGCCGGACTCTTCCATACTTCAAGTACGTCTTAGTAGTTTATATCTTTTATTAGATCTTACAAACGACTCTCATCTCCCTGCCTCTCCCGCGAGAATATTCATATTCTACATACAACCTATCCCTCAATAGCAACAATAGCATTTCTTTCACCACATCTATACCACACTACAACTCCAACATGCTTAGTAGCAATCTCAACGTCCTCTCAACAGTGGCTACTGCTCTTTCAAATAATCCTGCTCACGATGTCGCCGCAATGAACGGAGTCTTTCGCCATTACCTTGATCTTTGCCCAGATAAGAAACCCGACTGGGGCGAGCCATCTCCCTCATCCCCAGGGCCGTAATAAGAATAATCAGCAGAATATTTACAATCGAGGGAGTGACATGAGCAGCATGTCGAGGCACCCGCAAGATATGTATGTGTATGAGATGGCTGATTCTTTTTTTATTGACAGTATGATCAGCAACAGATCTACTCATTTGTGCCTTCTGCCGGTGCGCAGCGACACTGGAGGCCTCGACGCCGCTACCAAGAGATCGAGCGCTTGTATCAGTGCTGCTGGTATGACTGTGAGAAGGCTTATGGCACTCTGAACCATTTAAATACCCATGTCATGATGCAGAGACATGGGCAGAAGTGAACACCTTACGGTATGTCAATTGGCTCTTTATCTCAAAAGGGGATCTCATCCCAAATCTAAAAATACCTGACAGTAGCTTGCCAAATGGCCTGCCCGTGATCTGTACTAGAGGCTCGCGTGGTCGTCCTTGGTCAGGGACCAGACCAGCAATCAATCAAGCGTCGCTAGGTTGAGCTGTACTAGTGTCTGAAGGATATGCCATAGCATAGTGTTGAAACGGTCGTATTTGTAATTGCTAACCTAACCAATCGATAGAATTCAAGGAGATTCAGGAGGCATGGAAGGCACGCAAGAAGGAGGAAGATCAGCAGCAAGAAGCCGCAGAGGAAGCAGGCTGGCAGCGTCATGCCCAAGCCGTGGCGTCTGCCCGTACCCAGGTTCAGAACGGGGGACCTGACGGAGGCGACGCCGGGCAACCGCTGTCATCGTACCCGGCAAGCCGGCAAGTACAGGGGCTGCCTATTGGGTACCAGGCCGCTACGGACCTATCAAACGTAGGCTACCGTGGGGCTAGGGAGGTGCGCTGTCGCAGGGGCCACTAGGGGATGCCACATGAACCATCACAACGCTATTTGACAGCTATGAAGCAACTCATTTCTTGTATGTTATGCTCTAGCCAAATTTGCCGGAAGGAACTTATGCTTTGCTGCCTTTTGTTTGCCTAAGATTGGGTTGGTATACCATTTGCGATTACTGTCTCTCTTGCTGACTTGAGTCTAATAATAAAGGAGATATAACTGTGAACAAAATGGCCAAGTAAGGATGCGATAATATTCAAAAATTGAGAGTAAAAGGATACGACTCTATGATTAAATTTTAATCATAAGAACATGATAAGCTAGAATCATAACAAAATATATATCATAGACCTCTTGTTTATTATAATTCATATAGGTTAGAGCCTGTCACAACAACTTAGATTTGCAGAGTTCACACGGGAACAGCTGAGAAAGTCCACTAAGTAGGTCTGAACTTAGAACCGTACAACCGCTCCTCCTCTAGATCTGACATTTTCTTTCAATAATTTCTGTGGTGTACCTCTAGAAAGAATCCTTCACAGAAAACACCAGACCTAGAAACCTGCCCCTGGGCAGGAGTAGTAGGGTATACCTAGTAATAAGATCCAGCAATGGCTCGACTTTTGACGTGCTGGACCGGCGGCAAGCTTGTCAATGACAAACATCTAAATCTGGATATGTGTCTATTTATGGATAATAATGGTGATATCAGGGCAGTTATTGGCTTCTTGACTCGCTCTGGTTAAGAACAGAGCAAATTACAGCTGATTCAAAGCTTTGTCTCACGCATAGGCAGGTATCTCTATTTATTGATTGTAGACGCTGAGACATACCAGAGTCGATGCGTTATCTGCCCCAACATCATCGAATCTAGCTCGCTCACGCCATGGCTAAGCGGCGAAACACACACAACAAGAAACAGAAAGACAAGGTCCGGAAACGAGGCACATCTTTGCAAAAAAAGACGGTGGAATTGGGCGAAACAGCAAACGTTCTCACAGCCCTTATCTACTGGAACCTGACCCATAACCACTTCAAAAAGGCGGTATACGTTCCCAAAGGGCAGTCATTGCCGGACGCTACTGAGGTAGGCCTGGGCTCGCGGTCTTGCCACAGCGCGAACCACGTGGCTATTAATCAAGGTAGCTTACTATGGAGTAGCTTTACAGGCATCTTGCATCAGCATGGACCAATCCGATCTCTCCAGGTCGACATGCCCGCACGAAACGTCCGAGACTAGCCCGGAAGTGCAAGAATACTCGTGAGGGAAGCGAGACTGAGAGCATTACAAGCTTGGAAAATCCCAGCCTACCTGCCGAGGAGGACCTGTTCGTCGACCACCAGCAGTCTGATGGTTGTAATGACCCGGAATGCTGTAATTCTCACGACTCAATCCACTACGACCCGGCTTTGAATACTACATGTGCCGCCGTAACAGACCCTATGCAGGGCCACGAAGACCCAATGCACACACTCGCTCGGGTCTCTCTACCAGATAGGTGAAACAGCATAGTCTTGACAGGTTGGAGAACTGCTCACCATTGGTAGTCGGCGCTGGGATAGAGATAGGGCATGATTCGCAGCCGACACAGCTATTCGAATCGAGCAACGCGATGGGGGATGCCGGGTCATGGCACTGGGATCCCTCTTCGATGGACGCTCCAGGGGAAGAGATCGAAGCTAGCGTCCCATGGAACTATATTTATGAAGCCGAAACTCCTGTGCTAGGCACGAATGTTGGCAAAATACATAATTTTACACAGGATTCCTTGATCCGCCGAGCAGGCAAGGACAGGCCAGGGACGGGATTTTCTTGGCGACAGGTTCCTTTAGATATAATGGCACGGCAAATACTGGATTTGTTCCGTCCTTAAGGCAGGAAGAGGTAATCGGTCGGTGGGAATTCTGAGAGTTTTTGGCTCATTAGCTTATCAACAATATCCAACATATATAAGCACCAACTCTATGTAAGATAGGACAAAGGGTTCACGGTATCTGCTTGATGCGATACAATATGGCTGCATTAGACTACCAGAAATTATCCTTGACCCTGTAATTTAATACCAGCTAAGGTTAGCCCAAGACTGTCTTTATCATTAATGCGAAAGTAAGCTGCTACATCGACACCAGAACTGTCCTGCTACGACAGGTCCTACTCTTGCGACTTGTAAGCAGCAATCATATACCCGTCAGACTAACTGCGGTCAGACCATATTCGGCTTATGCATGGGGCAACCGTTGGACCAATGTCTGGGCAAGTCCTGACCCGATAGAGCGGAACGGTCTGAGATTCATCTCACACCTGCTATTTCAGGTTAAAGGATTACATTAAAAGAGTCATAGAATTTGGTCCATCCCAATTCCGGTTCAAGTCACATGCTTGGCGTCACCGAACCCCCGGCTGCTCTCTATCCCTACAAGGATTGCATTCCTTGCACCCTTGCATGCGTGAATGTCATGTCCCGTGACAACACGATAGAGGCCAACCAAACTGACCCACCACGGCGCTTGTAAATCTTCTGGTTGCGCCACGGAATGAACAGCTTGCTTGTGATGTAAGTCTCGTATATGGTATCGTCTCTCCGGACATAATGATGGACTGATTGGAAAATAGACTCTAGGCTCACTGGTAGCTAACCTTGATCCTACATCAGAGCCTTTCAATTCTCATTGGCAGTCTCTTGAACTCTATCCTGCCGCCTGCAAGACGCAGCCCATGCGGCCTGAAAGATCAGCATGTGATCAATCACACGTCGCAAGGCGAGTTCAGGGAGGCCCATACAATCGATCAACGGGTACATCTCGGCTTGCCGACCAAAGACAATGGAAGTCCTGACCCGACTATACGGAACGCCCGACACTAGTGGTCCTGCTCTCCACATCGGTCGGCCGGCAGTGGTCATTGTGAGGAGAGGCGGCGTCATCGTGATGGGACCCGGGATGGTCACCATAGCCATCGTTCTACCAGTGTCGGTAGGGAGCAGCGTAAGTCGTCTTTTTTTGGATTTTAGTAGACATGTAATGGAGTGACAGTATCATACTTGACTTGGTAATGGCATCGCTTTACCGACTATAGTACTCAACAAGACTTCTCTTCTTATGATACAATTGACCAACAACACCACCTCCCATTGAATTGTGGAAAGAGGGGGGTATGGGGGGGCCCGCCCCGTGACGCGTGAACGAAGTGAACCAATTCAAAGAATGTGCGAGATACTTAATGACAATAGAACTATGTAAACTAATAGAAGTAAACTGTGAGTGGAATGAACTACACGGAGTGTGCTAGCGGAGCGGTCGACCGAAGGGAGATACACGGAGTGTAGAGGACTGGAAGGACTAAGGGAGCGACAGCGACATGGAACCAACAAGGGACCAAAGGGACCACCAATTGTACTAGACTAGACTAGACTTTACCTGTGCACTACCGAGTCACGTAACAAAACATTAAACCCAATAAGTGACGAGGTAGACAATAGAACCCATAACCAAGTGATCAACAACTGTAGACAGGGCGACCAGAGGGAGACACACTGACCAGAGGGAAGTATAGAAGAACGGAGTGAGGCAAGGGAGTGGAACGACTGTAGATGCAACGGAGTGAAATCAATGGACTGGAAGGAAATCAATTGGAGTGGGACGGAGATTAGACAACTGAACGCAAGTAAGGGCATCACCAACCGTGATTTAGAACTAGTCCAGCATAAACCCGAGATGTGCGAGGGACCTATAATTTACTTTATGCTGGACTTTGGACCAAAAGCCGTGTGCAACACCCGCGTACGGTCTTAAGGACCATTTAACTACTGAAACGCAGTGCAAGTCAGTTAGTAAGACAGTGTTGATAAAAATTGGAATGTTTGCCAGCACTGTTTTTGGACAAGTAAGGCCCGTGCGCGGGACTATCCAATACGAACCGAGGTCGCTTGCAGCCGGACGAGAAGACCCTTTACATAAGATTGGGGGGGACAGGCTGTCAGCCCGAACTGGACAGTGGAATGATAAGCAGAGGTGCGCCCACCCTCACAGAACCTGGATTGTTCTCTTCTGTTACCTCTTTTCTATTGTGTAGAAAAACAGACCTTTTCATGAGACTGGTTGATTGAGTAGGTGAGTACGCGCAAACGATCCGTTGGTTGTGTGGTAGACCGTGGCGGTGTGGACATTGTTGTCACTCTGATTTGATACTCTGTGGAACAGGACTGGTGTACGGTGGAATCGTGGTGATGGACAGTGTCTCTATGTGTTCGTCATGGGCGGCGCGCTTGGCTTCACAGGCAGCCTTGGTCGTCTGTCTCTTCCCGGGGGTACGATGGGAACCAGAGGTGGGCGAGACGGTTATAGATCTGGAATCGATCTTGGTTTTGGCGCCGGAGCACGACATCCCTAATCCTTTGTTTTTTGGTAGGTATAAACGGGCCATCCTTGAGCATATGCGCGGGAAGAGGACACTGTTATTATCAATACATCCGGCTGTTCGGTCGTTCTTGGAAGAGCAAGGCATACGCTACGTGCTGGTCTATCCGGAGGCATCGCTCGAGGTGTGTTGGGTGGCCCATATGACAGCGACCGGTGCTAGTCTGGACAAGGTGGAGCTGGTGACCGAGGCCTGGGGACGCTTGCTTGCGAGCTGTGATGAGGCTCGTCCCACGAGAGGCTAGCAGTTATGGGCTGGTGTCAGGTTGGGGGAGCCCGGCTTGGGTGTTGTCGGACAACAGCAGGTACGGACTCTGTCAGGCACGGGAGTATGAACTATACTGAGGTTATGCTTACCCTTTTCCTCTTATGGGAGGGATAAGAGACTAAGTAATAGATAGACAGTGTGGAAGACAGAGGATACAAATGCCACATAGGAATGTGGTGGTGAGACCAGTTGTAGTATGTTGAACTTGTAGTGCTCTCTTTGATAGGCAGAGTGGGAACTTGTGGTGATAAACCTGTTGGATGATGCGTGGCTGATGCACGGCTGATGCACGGCTGATGCATTGAGACTAGACTTCAACTTGGTGATACTAGACACTGACCCTCGTAGATACGATTGACCAACTGAACCCCTTAGGATTGAATTGTGAACCAAGGGGGGTACGGGGGGCCCGCCCCGTGACGCGTGAACGAAGTGAACCAGTTCAAAACTCGGGCGAGATACTGTTTGACAATAGAACGATGTAGATAGATAATTAAATAAATAGAAACAAATAAGTGAGTGGAACGAACCACACGGAGTGTGTAGCGGAGCGGTCGACCGGTAGGGAGATAGGGAACGGTAGTGACTTAAGGAGCGACAGCGACATACACGAACAGAGTGAGGAGTAGAAGAGTGCAACGACGATAGAACATAAAGGGAACAGGAGTGACCGACTACTAGATAGACTTAATCAAACTGTGATTCATCGCATTACTCAAAATTAAACTAAACCAGCTAAGTAACGAGATAACAAACTAAACCTAACTAAACGTGATCAAACAATTATAGACGGGGCGACCGGAGGGAGACCAACACTGAGCAGAGCGAAGGAAGGGAGGGACAACCGTACCAGACGAAGTGGAACGTAGTCATTGACCGGAAGGAGATCAAACGCAACGGAGTGAAGTCAGATGAATAGCGCAGCGAACCAGTTCAAAACATGTGCGACTAGACGATTAATTAATTGAACGATGTAGATAGATACATAGACAATAGAAACAAACAATCAGTGAACGGAGTGAACCACACGGAGTGTGCTAGCAGAGCGGTCGAACGAAGTGAGTAGAGGAACGGCAGTGACTAGACGACCGGTAGGGAGGCATGGGGAGGGGACCGACCACAGGAACGAAGTGACGGTAGACGAACAGAGTGAGGAGTAGAGGAGTGTAACGACGATGGAATCAAAGGGAGCACAGCGACCGTACAACTCAATAGATAATAATTAAACTGTAACCAACGAGTCACTCTTAACCAAACAAATCAAAAACAAAGTGACGAGGTAAACAATGAACCCAACAAGACATGATCAACAATATCCCCGTTGCACCTGCTTCTGCCTCCGCCGTGCCTCAACCCGAGCACTGCTTCGTCCCCGGACAACACCATCCCATGCCGCCAACAAGGCCTCCTAAGAACCAACAGACGGTCCAGCGACCTCCACTTCACACGCCCATCGCCTAATAAAGTCACCAGACGACTCCATAATATTTGGCCACCGAATATCCACTACTGTGCCCTTTGCGCCCGCTCTTTTCCACTTCGCCGGGCTCCATAACGTCACCACCCTCATCCTTCGCGGTGACACCACAAGGTAGTCCAATACCCGATTACCATCACGAACGCACTCCTTTGCCAGCACCTCCCGCGCAGCAGGGAAAAACAATGAGGTCGCCCTCAAATACTCCTTCAGCGTCTCTTCTTCTCCGAACCGGTAGGATAACCAGAATACGTTCCGGTACACATTCTTCAGCGAATCTAGTTCAGTCGCTATCGTTCCAAATAAAGCGAACAAAGGTAGACAAAAAGAACAGGACACTAGCCCCAAGGAAGCGGGGCAACCCACTCATTTTATGTTCCCCAGAACAGCCGATGTCCATGTACAGCCCCCCTCCGCGCTGTCTCCCGTCCTGACCAATCAGTCCATTCGGTGCCGACACTCTGCGTCACCCCCCCACATCACTCCGTACCGTCGTTCTATTGGATGGCCCGGTGCACGGGCCTTATGTGTCCAAATACAGTGCTGGCAAGCTTTTCCAAAGTTGTTCCCACTGTCACTCTACCTCACTTTCCTTACAGTCCAGTAGTTATAGTAAGTCACCCTGTCCGTACGCGGGTGCTATCGCACGGCTTTTGGTCATGATTCCAGCATAAAGTAAATTATAGGTCCCTCCGTGCAACTCCGGGTTTATGCTGGAATGCTCTTCGAGTTCACTTCGTGATGGCCTCACTTGGTTCGGTTGATTAATCTCCATTCCATTTCAATTAGATCGACTCCGTCTCCCCTACTTCACTCCGTTCCGTCTACAGTCGTTCCACTCCCTCTAACGGTCCTTCCAGTCCCTTGCCTCACTCCGTTCCTCTACTTCCCTCCGGTCAGTGTTGGTCTCCCTCCGGTCGCCCTGTCTACAGTTGTTGTTGATCACATGGTTGATTTCAGTTGGTTACTCGTCACTTTTGTTATTTGTTTTAGTTTGGTTTTGAGTGACTCGGTAGTGCACAGTGGTAGTTTGATGAAGTCTATGTACGGTCGCTACGCTCCCTTGTTGTTTCATCTCACGATGTTGGTTCCACGTCGCTGGCGCTCCCCTGGTCACTCTGTTCCCTCATCGTCACTCCGTTCCCCTACTCACTTCGTTCGACCGCTCCGCTCCACTCCTCCGTCGTAGTTCACTCCGTTCACAGTTTGGTTCAATTGTCTATGTATCTAATTATCTAGTTTTTTATAGTTCTATTGTCTAACAGTATCTCGCCCGAGTTTTGAACTGGTTCGCTGCGCTCACGCGTCACGGGGCGGGCCCCCCGTACCCCCCTTCTTCCACAATATAATGGGAGTGGTGTTGTTGGTACTCTAGTTACGAGGGGAAGAGGTCTATTAGGTCACTGAGTCTACTCACGCCCCGGCGATCCCAACGTTCTCCCATTCCTTCCTGTTGTCATGGTCATCCTACTCAGTCTTTTATGTACCCTAGTAAAGTCTCATAAGGTCTAGTCTATTCATGTCTAGTACCCTCTGTATCAGGCAGCCAAGCTCGTCTTCGCTATCTATCTATCTTATTATGTCACCTTGTAACAAAAGAAACCTGTCTAAGAGCAAGACTAAAAGACACACCACCTTGCTATGAAAGAAGATAGCACACATCTTATCATGTCCCCACCACTTCTATTCCTTCCCTGTCTCAGCTGTAACCGTGTTCCGTTGCCTCATCGGCCGACAAGACAAAGTGTTGACAACCTTGTTGTGCCCGACAACCTCGGATCCAGTCCTCCCAGTTCTCCATCACCGTCGACACCACACGGCCCTCATAGCCCTGCGCCTCCAAACGCAGCTTCCACACCTCCTTGTAGCCCTCCGCGGGGTAGAGCAAGAGGAACGGGATCCCTTCTGACACTAGAAAGTCCCGCACCTCCTGATGCGAAGGCAAGACAAGAATGTCCCACTCCTCCTTGAGCGACTCGACAATCGCCCGGCCATACCGCTCCATCCAGTTCTCCTGCTCCGCTCCATCGGCTGCCCACCGAAACAAGGGCGAATCCAGCTCCACCGCCTTGAAGTCTGTCTGGGTAAACAACGCCTCCGACTTCACCCCGGGAAAGGCAGAGACCACCAGTCCGCTACGGGCCGCATCCTTCCACGCGTCCACCACATCCACCCACTTCTCCAAAGGCAACAACTCACCACCCATGGTGTACAAGTATTACACAATCTCTCTTACAACATACCGTCGTTCGTTCAACGAAAAGAGGACGACAAGTCAAAGATGAACAACACTGTTCAAAAAGAAGGATGAGAGGAAGAGAACCCATTCTGTCTCCCAAATGCGCGCATCACTGCTAGTTGTATTCCATTGCAAGTTCGTGCCGACACCCTGTCTGCCCCCTTTGGGTAGTGATCCCTGCGGCCGCGAGCGACCTACGTTCTATTGGAGGGCCCTGAGCACGGGCCTTGTTGGACTAAAAACAGTGCATGCAAACATTCCATTTTTTGTTCGCACATGTCCACTAACGAACTTGCACTGCGTTCCAGTGGGTAAGTGGTAGAATCCACCGTTCGCGAGTATGTTCATACGGCTTTTGGTCAAGATTCCAGCATAAAGTAAATTATAGGGCCTGGATGTCAACACCAGGTTTATGCTGGAATACTCTGCGAGTTCACTTCGTGATGGCCTCACTATGTTCGTGTCTAACTATCTCCGTTCCACTCCAATGTATCTCATTCCATTCAATTGCCTTCGCTCCGCTACGTCTACAGTCACTCCGTTCCCTCTACAGTCGTTCCACTCCCTTACGTCACTCCGTTCCTTTCCTTCCCTCCGGTCAGTGTTGGTCTCCCTCCGGTCGCCCTGTCTACAGTTGTTGTTGATCACATGGTTGATTTCAGTCTATTACCTCGTCACTTAGTTGTTTTAGTTTGGTTAAGAGTGACTCGTTGTATCACAGTTGTCTAAGTCTATCTAGTTGGCGGTCACTACGTTCCCTATTGATTCTATTGTCACTGTCGTTCCTTAACTCACCCGGTTCGTGTAGGTCGCTGTCGCTCCTGTCTACTCCGTAGTATCGCTCCGCTCGGTTCCTCCGTCACACTTCACTCCGTTCAATTAGTCGTTCACTCCGTTCACTGTTTAGTTCTATTGTCTATTCTACTATTTAGTTCTATTGTCTAAGCATATCTCTAACGTTCTTTGAACTGGTTCGCTGCGCTCACGCGTCACGGGGCGGGCCCCCCGTACCCCCCTCATTCCACAATATAATGGGAGTGGTGTTGTTGGGTAAGAGTATCTTCGAGGGTCACTATCTAGTATCACTACGTTTAAGTCTACAAAGAAGGGCATCACAGGTTGCCAGTGCCTCCATTACTACAAGAGGTCTACGATTGTATCTGGTTTCATTCCAATACAAGGGGCACAGCGAGAGTCTACGTCCATCACCCCGTCTTATCAGTCACGTTCCACTGATTCCATCCTCCATTCCACCAAGTCCCCCGTGGTCCATCTCACTGGGTTCTCATCACCCGGTTCGTAGGGGAAGGCCCATCATCACACCGTTCATCCCCAGGGAAAGCACGCTACCACGAGTCGACTAGCGGCCCGCAAAGTCTCCAACCTCATTGGAACCTGGGTCAAACCTTACTTACACCGTATTGAAACCCTGATGCACTGCTCAGAGTGTGTCTCTCCCGTTCCACGTGCCACTAGGTGACAGTATCACCAGTCCTGGCGGTATAGAAGAGCCCCGCACCGACCAGACAGCGCAAAGAAAGGGTCCTTCCACCCATCCCTATGCTCACCAAGAGACGCCCCCCATCACAGTTGGGTATTGTGGCCTGACCAGTCCATCGCCCCGTCTCCTTCTCCATCCACGAGAAAGAACAACAACAATGTTCATCCAGGTGCGGTCCTACCTTTCGTTTGTCCGGTAGAGGAGCAGTCTACTCCCAGCGCATCAGCCGCGCATCAGTCACGCATCATCCATCCGTGCTTGTCCCCCCAAAGTGTCCGTAGTGAGGGCATCCTGTTCCTCAGTCAATCGATCATTCCATTCGTATGTTCACTCAACAAAACCCATTGTTTATGTTCTTTGTCAAACAAAGATCTATACCATGATTAGAAAGACGACCTAGTCGATAGCAACCCAGTATCATCTAAAGAGTTCGGGCGTGCAACCCAGGTTGACTCAATAGTTCGGGCCAGCCCAGTACTACAGCACAAGCTTGTCTCTTGGCTCAAGAGAGAGGAGTCAGGAAGAACAATCCTTATTCAGTTCGAGCGGGCGCCCCCTCGCTTATCTACCCCGTTCGTTCAGTCGGTGCCGACAGGGTGTCTGCCCCCTTTCCGAGAGTCGGAGGGTTGTTGGTCCGGCCACAAGTGACCTCCCCTTCCATTGGATAGTCCCGCGCACGGGCCTTTTGTTGGACTAAATACAGTGTAGTCAAGCTTTTCCAAAGTTGTTCCCACTGTCACTCTACCTGCCCTTCACTATGTTCCGGGTGGTACTAGTAAGTCATCTAGTCCGTACGCGGGTGCTATCGCACGGCTTTTGGTCAAGATTCCAGCATAAAGTAAATTATAGGGCCTGGATGTCAACACCAGGTTTATGCTGGAAATGACTGCGTCTCGTTGTCACGATGGCCTCACTTGCGTTCAGTCTAATCATTGCACCCCGTTTCATTTGATCAACTCCGTTTCTCTTCCTCCGTTCCACTACGGTTGTCAGTCACTCCGTGCCTTCTACCAGTCGTTCCACTCCCTTTGACTACGCTCCGCTTCGTCTCATCGTCGCTCCGCTCCTCATGTCTACAGTTGTTTGATCACGTCTGTTGAGTTCATTTGGTTACTCGTCACTTGGTTGGTTTAGTTTGGTTAAGAGTGACTCGTGGGTTCACAGTTTGATTAGTTCTATCTGACGGTCGCTACGCTCCCTCTTGTTCCATGTCACTGTGTTCCTTACTCACCCTGTTCGTGTAGGTCGCTGTCGCTCCCCTAGTCACTGCCGTTCCTTAACTCCCTATCGGTCGACCGTTCCACTCTCCCACTCCGTGGTTGTTCCTCCGTCACAGTTCCTTCCAGTCACTTGTTGTTTCTATTTACTATCTAGTTTACATAGTTCTATTGTCTAAGCATATCTCGCACATGTTTTGAACTGGTTCGCTGCGCTCACGCGTCACGGGGCGGGCCCCCCGTACCCCCCTTGGTTCACAATTCAATCGGGGGTGGTGTTGTCGGTCTAGTTAGTTACGAGGGGGCAGTCTACTAAAAGAAGAGCAGTAAAGGGAAGGCATCACGGGGTCCAAGTCTATGATCACCAGATTCATCGGGAAGGGAGTGTACAAGAACAATGCATATCAAAGACCACATCTCCCAGTATCAAATCCTGTATAAAACGTTCCTATCCATTGAATCCATCACATTCTAATCCGTTCAAAACAATCCCTATTCCCAAGCCGTCCGTCCATGGCCTACACACTGTAGCACCGCATCACCGAAGCTCCCAAGCCCAACACACCCTCCGCCATCCGTCGCCTCACCGACTCACCTGTCCAGCGCCACCTACCCTTTTCAGGCTCCTGGTTTTGTCACCCGTCCCCTCCCACGATTGGCCTGCAAAACGACACCAGAGATGACATCAGCTAGGTACTGCCCCGTCTGTAGAGACACATGATCGCAGCCAGTCTGCCCAGCACAATCCGACAGAAACAAATCCCAATTGTCTCGGAATAAAGGGATCATCCCGACCGTGCCCCGTGACTCCATTCGCCCAAGCCACTCCTCCTTCAGTGCAGGCTGTGGAACAACCATGATAAACCAGAGCCCGAGGCTGTTGAGCCGTTTGCGTACATCGGCATGCGTGGATACCAGAATAATCGTCTTCTCGGTAACATGAGCCACAATTGCTTTCGTGTAGTCCTCCACAGAGTTGGGATTTCGGCTTCCGTCCGCCAAGAACGAATACGCCGACGAGTCAAGATCCAGCACCGAGTACCCCTCTACAGCAGAACTCCCTCCAAGCCACGACTTGCCTACACAAGCAAACCCGGATATAATAATGGCTCGTTGCCGTAGAACGGCCATTGACTGGGTATCTCCCATATCGTACTTCACAGTTTGTTCACAACACACGTCCGTTGGTATACTGATCGTGTTGTCTCTGTTGTTGTCTCCGTCGAGCGGTGCATCGATGCCCTTTCCAAAAAGAAAGTAGACGAGAAGACGAGGAACTTCAGAAGTGGGCGTTCCACTCCTTTAGTATTCCATTCACGGTGTCCACCCCGTTTGTGTTGGGGCCGACAGGTGTCTGCCCGGATGAGGTCATCTGTTCCCGGTGGTCACGATGGACTGAGGGTCCCGTGCACGGGCCTTATGTGTCCAAATACAGTGCTGGCAAACATTCCATTTTTTGTTCGCACATGTCCACTAACGAACTTGCACTGCGTTCCAGTGGGTAAGTGGTAGAATCCACCGTTCGCGAGTATGTTCATACGGCTTTTGGTCATGATTCCAGCATAAAGTAAATTATAAGGGCCCAGTGTCAACACCGGGTTTATGCTGGAATGGACTGCGTCTCGTGGTCACGATGGCCTCACTTGCGTTCAGTTGTCTAATCATTGCACCCCGTTTCATTTGATTGACTCCGTCTCTCTTACTTCACTCCGTTCCGTCTAACGGTCCTTCCAGCCCTTTGATCGGTCGTCCCTCCCTCATCGTCACTCCGTTCCTCATGCCTCAAGCGACACTATAGAGCGTGGACGCTAATTGCTTGGGCTGCGTTGCCGGCGTTGTTGTCCCGTTCGTCAACGACTTATCGCGAAAAGAATCGCCTGGTTTATTATTAAACTCGGAATTCTAGCTCCACAACATTTTGGAGCTCTACCGAAAGCGCTCTGCCACCGACTTGGTAGCTGCACTCATACACGACATCGAGCAGGCCCGTATTCAGCAGGAGGGGGGTCATTCTCGTCTTGAAGATCGGAACCAGGTGTGTTGGTATTAGATGCATTAGCGTTGTCTCCGCTTTCTTGTGCTTGAATAGCCATGTAACCTTCAACCATTTTCCACAGGTCAGAATTTGGATATAACAGTTTCGCCCTGTGAAGCGTGATCTTTTCCCAGACAGAAAGGTCAAGGCCCTATATAAGATCATCGCCTGGCACAAGCTAGGTCCACAGCTAAAATCCCCGCCAATTAAGATT